AGCTTGGGGAGTTTCGACCTAATGTCGCGACTTGAGGTCAAGCGACTGGGGGATACCTGAAGGCTGGGGGCGTCCGACTGATTCTCACCGAAGCGATGGTGAGCGAGGCTCAAACCTAAGGCTAGGGACAAGAAATGTATTAGTTAGTTAAGTAAGAAAAAGGATACAGGATGGGCTTACTGACCTAGGGACAAGAGGTCGAAACTGAGGTCCCTAGGGCAGCAGAGGCCGGCTTATATACATGGGGAGATTAGGGCAGGCTGTGCGCGTTGGTCCGTGCGCAGCTGGTCCGTGCACAGCATGCCGACGCGGCCCCGGGGGCCGGTGAGTCAGAGCGGCTGTGTCAGCGGAGCCCGAGCTGTGCCGTGCGCTGCCGCCCCATCTAATCTTATCGTACAGTAGATAACGATGTGTCCGTATCAGGCAGGTAGTACAGAGGTCGCGGGTTCGAGCCCGCGAAAAGGAAAAAATTAAAAAACGGCTAGGCGCCGTGCCAACTCGTGACACTCTCACCCTAGTACTGCAACGATGAGAATATGTCTGTGGCGTGATACTGACCTGCCCCAGTGGTCCTGTTCGCAACCTCCTGTGCTTCCGGTGCGCTCGCTGCACTGATGTGATTGGCTTGGGATATGGGTGTGATGCGGGCATTGTCGCGATCATTTTCTCCTTGACATAGCTGTGGTACACCTGGTAACGAGCTCGAACACCACCACAGTGATTGTTCCGACCGTCCAGCAGTCACATTGAACAGATGTACTTACATTATGAGATTATGAGCTTTATTTGAGCAATGCAATAAGCTTCTTAGAGAGAGCAATACAAACAGAACAAACAACTCACCAAATTATGCAGATGGCTCAGAACGAAGAAGGCGAGCTGGCATGTGGATCTAGGACGGGAGAAGTCAAATTAACAGACTCCTGATCATGAGATCAGGGTACTGGTACATTCACCAGGAGCATGGGCTCAAAATACATGCAAGACAATATTGGCCCATTTGAGACATGGGTGGGCAAGATGAAAAACTTCTCAGATTTGTCGCACATGTCTTGTCGTGTCCGATGCAAGTCACCTGATTCGCGGTGGTTGCTCGCGGGTTAAACTGCGATATGGGTAGCCGCCGGCCAAGTATACATCACATCCGTAAGTCAAATCGATGGGTTTGCACGAGGGTCAAGCGATTTTGACCGGGGTGCAAACTTGACATTTGTCCCCCGGGCATCTGCAGGCCGTTCAAACGTAGGCTAAAGGATCTTCTGGCCGTGTACCCTGATCTTATGATCAGGAGCCTGTTATTCTGACCTTTTCTGCCTTAGATCCATATGCCAGCTCGCCTTCTGCTTCATTCTGAACCATCTGCAGAGACCAGTGAGTTACTTGTTATTTTTGTATTGCTTTCTCTTAGAAGCTACAGTCTGGTATCTTAGGAGTTGAATGTATATGTACATAATTAAGCAATTACATCTGCGACTAGCCATTCTCTGTATGTTCTCGCGCGACAATATGGTCAATGGGACCCTGGGAGACCGCGCTTGTGTCACGTGAGCAGAAATCTGCTTTGCACGGGGGTTGAACGAATTTGCCTGCGGGGCAAGCGTGTGAGTGGTTGCACCAGGCATAAACTGTCGTGGTTTGCACAGGGCGCAAAGTGCGTGCAGCTTGTCAGCGGTTAAACCCAGTTTATACGGATCTTCTGGCCGTGTACGATAGGGGCCTCCGGCCCCCGGCTACTCGCGCGCCCGAGCTTTCGAGCTCGTTCCTGACCACGCGGGGCTGCGCGTTTCAACACATGGCCTGCGGAAAAGCAGCTGATCTAGTGATCCATGACTGTCGACAATGAGCACCCAAACCCCTAGTATGCGCTGCAAGCCAAGAGAACCGATATAGCGGTAAGAACTCTCGGCGAACAGCGGCATCGCTCAGCCATCAACCGGCAATCGTGAGGTCTGAAATGCTGTCTTACGGTGCGAGGGGCGCGTTTTGAAGCAGACCTATATATAATGATCGTCGCCCACCGTCAAAGTGATTGTCATTGTGATCGGAACACCTAGTGAGTCGCAACGTGTTCTGCCGAGCGAGGAACGTCAGCACTCGGCAGCGTAGATAAAGGACTTGTAGATGTAACGCTCGCGACACAGACCGTCCGCTCGAGACACCATTCATCCACCTGCAATCATGGCGGTACTCCTCACAGGCGGCACGGGAAAGACCTCCGTGCGCATTGGACGTCTCTTGCAAGACGCAAAGATCCCGTTCCTCTTGGCCTCGCGCAGGGGTGAGGCCGCAGCCCCGTCCGGCATGCCCGCAACCCACTTCAACTGGCTCGACTCTTCAACCTTTGCGAACCCTTTCCAACATCGATTCCCTGGCGGAGAGGGCATTTCCGCCATCTATTTGATCACACCCCAAGTGACCGATCCCACATCGGTCATGACCGCCTTCGTCGACTATGCAGTCAAAGAGCATGGTGTCAACAGATTCGTTCTCATGGCCGGTAGCACCACTGAGCCAGGCGAGCTTCAAGTCGGACGTGTGTGGCAGCACCTTCTCGACATTGGCGTCGAGTATTGTGTGCTCCGTCCAACATGGTTCATGGGTGTGTGTGTTTGCCCAGACCTGCGGTACATCTTCCCGTTAACGGCAGGTGATAGAAAACCTCTCGGAGGGGATACATTGTGCCACGGTCAGAAACGAGGGCAAGATTTATACGGCGTGTGGCGATGGCAAGATCTCGTTTGTTAGCGCCTCCGACATTGCAGCCGTCGCATTCCGCGCGCTCACCGACGAGAAACCGCACAACACCGATTATAGGGTGCTGGGGCCCGAGCTTCTGACCTATGATGAGGTACCCCGCCTCTCCGGTCTGTGAATTGAACGTGAATGTACATGCTGACTGTCGCTGTGCAGGTTGCGGCAAAGCTGAGCAGCTGTCTGGGGCGCGAGATTACGCACGTGAACCTCACCGATGAACACAGAGCACAACGGCTGATGAGTGTGGGCGTGCCGGAGTACTTCGCGAAGCGGCTTGCCTTCCTTGAAGTCTCAGCCGCTAATGGAGGCGAGAATAGGATGAACGACGTCGTGGAGCGAGTGACTGGACGGCCTCCGCAGACGTTTGATGCATTTGCCCAGCAATGCAAGACGGCATGGGAGTAAACAGTCTTGACGCGTCTTAGAATCGTGGTTCTTTGTTTTGTTTCCTCTGATCGACGCTACGGCTTAGTTGCTAATCTTTGACTTCATGGTGTATATCTCCCCGCTCTCTCTGCACTTAGTCTTTTCCACCCCCACTCAGACTCGTATTGTAATATGTATATGTAGCTATAAGGGGTTCCTGGTGATGATGAAGCTTGACGTTAGGAGGTACCCGCAATAAAGCAATCCCCATTTATTAGATATGATCAGCTCTGCCAGTGGGATGGCGTCACTCCGATGAAATTCGACATGTCAGACTCACCCTATGAAGCGCACTGCTCGTCTATCAGACTGTTCACATGATGCAAGTGAGCGAAAGTCAAAAGCATCAACGCGAAGGGAGGAGCATAGCACGAAGGCAGGACGACCAATCGGACGTGCTTTGTGCTTATATCATTGAGGATTGAATGCTTGACCGACTTGGCCAAGACAACTAGGCTGAGTAGGCGCAATATTGAGTTTTTTGTTTTGTTTTCGCTTATGCATACAGATAGATATAAGACTATGGTATGCATCAGCCAGTGACCTTGCAACGACGACGTACTACGGAGGGCCGCGGGCCCAGCCGGACGTGCACTGAGGAATCTATCAGTATGCGCAACGTGAGCGTGACAGGCGCGTGACAGGCGCGTTACGGGACGCGTCTCCGATCGCCGAGCGTGGGTGCAGCAGCGCTCGTCGCCAGCTTGTGTCCGAAAGCTCGGAAGTATACCACGTCACCCGCCCGCCGTCGCTATGCACGCACGACGCACATTATATGCTGTGCGACAGCATGCACGCTCATTCAGCGTAGCCCCCTCTCGCTCTGCCGTCTACGTCCTCCCTGTAGACCCCAGGGCCCCTCCCAGGCACACCAGCGTCGGGGTAGATGCGGAGTCGCTGTGGTCCGCAACACCCGCGGCAGCTGCTCCAAAGCCAGCTGAAGCAGGCACAACGCACATCTTCTACGATACGCCGAGCGAAAAGGGTGCGCGGAATGTGACGGCGCTGACGTCTCTTGGGGACAAGTTCGCGGAGAAGGCGGAGGACGAGAGGCGAGAGGTCATCAGGAAAGCGGTCGGCAGTGCTGTGAAGCAGGTGCGCGCGCTTGGCGAGGGCATCCACGGACAGACCGTCTTCGTGGACGCGTCGGCGGACCCACATGCTGCTGGTGAGACATGCTGGACGTGCTGTCTGGGTTATGTACAACTCACGCTATGGCTCAGCTGTCGCGACTCACCTTGCGCAATTCGAATTCACGCTCAAGACGAAGCCACCGTCACGGTTCAATCCGAACTTGAAAGAAGCTATTCCGGAAAAGCTCACATTCCAGCCTCTCACCGAACATGAAGGCTGGAAGACCGGAGCTGTCTATGCGCGAGCGCAGAACCTTGCACGGACAGTACGTTCAGCCATATCAGCATCGGAGATAGTCACATATTGATAGCAGCCCATCGGATAGTTGACAGAATTGCCCGGCAACATGATGACACCTACTGTCTGTGAATCACCAAGACTGAAACCAAACCATGCAGCTAACCAGCTAGGGACTTTGAATTCTAGGCCTTCGTAGAGCGGATAGAGAAGGAGTTCTCTGGTGTACCGAACGTCAAGATCATCGTTCGTGACGAGGGTACGTCCTTGCCAATGTCGAAGTCTCGATTGTACACACTTTTCGAACACTAGACTGACAAACGCCGCTTGACCCAATCATAGCTTGGGCAGCAAAGAAGGGCATGGTGCGTCACTAACATGTTCTCGCCCGTTGTATCTTCTCAGCCGCCATGGCCAGAATGCCTTTCTCTCTGTGACGAAGGGCACCTCTCAGCCGGCCAAACTCCTCGAGATGTACGCCTTGCAATTGTCGTATTATTGTTGTGGAGCACTGTTCATCCTGTTTTGCATGCTGTAGCCACTACAATGGCGGACCCAGTGATGCACAGCCCATCCTGCTCGTCGGGAAGGGCGTTACCTTCGACACGGGTGGGATCTCGCTCAAGCCTTCAGCAGGGATGAAGCTGATGCGTGGTGACATGGGTATGTGCCCGTGTGTCCTACCGTCTACTTGGCTGACACTGACCAAATTCTATCGCCTGGCAGGCGGCGCTGCGGCGGTCTGCTCTGCTGCGCTCGCCGTCGCACAGCTCGGGCTGCCGTAGGTTTAATGAGCACCCCTCGCTAACCTCGTGTTAATGGTTCGGCACATTTTCTTACTCTGGCAGAGTAAACCTCAAAGTGCTGACGCCGCTCTGCGAGAACATGCCCGGGCCGAGCGCGAATAAGCCGGGCGACATGTGAGCCGAACTTGCCCGTTATGGGCATGCCGCTTGCTGAGTCGACGCTCGACAGAGTCTATGCGATGAACGGCAAGTCAATTGAGGTCGACGACACGGACGCCGAGGGTCGGCTTGTGCTCGCGGGTGCGGATTACGGATTGCGAACTGCAAAATGGGAGGCGGTTGCTGACGTGCCGATCTGATGTAGATGCGCTATACTATGGGTCAACGACCTTCAAGCCACACACAATCGTGGACGTTGCCACGCTAACAGGGTATATGACTCGGGGCTGATTGATGCTATCGGCGGATGTGCTGATTGGGGGGGTTCCTACAGAGCGATGAGCGTCGCACTGGGTGAAGCCTTCACCGGCGTATTCACTGTAAGGGCTTCGCGCTAACACTCCGGGCACTCGATTGACCGACGTTTCAGAATTCGGACAGCCTCTGGCAGGAGTTGGACAGAGCCGGATTGCGCGAACACGACCGGTTCTGGCGGATGCCGCTAGACGACGAGTACGGACCGCAAATCCACTCGTCGAACGCCGATCTATGCAACGTACGTGCTCCAACAGCAATCATCGCATGACTGCGCGCTGAACTGCTCTTTGTCCTGCTTTCTGTAGATCGGCGGTAGGGCTGCGGGAAGCTGCACGGCTGCGCTTTTCCTGAAGGCATTCGTGGACGGCGTCGATCCTGCTGAGGATGGCGCGACGGCTGCGGTGCGGTGGGCACATCTCGATATTGCGGGGACCATGGAAGTATGTGCTCCGCATTTGTATGTCTCTGTACCGCTGACACGGTACACTTCAAGACAACGCGAGGGTACGCGTACCAAGACAAGGGGCTGACGGGTCGCCCTACACGGTGAGTGAGATGGTGCCGTTTGTTTGCTCTGGGGCTCATTTGTCGGCAGTGCTTTGATCGAGTTTGTGAAGGCGGCTGCGTCATAGTACTGATGTAGAATGCACCTAGGGCTAATCCTACTAACCTTTCGACCTATACTCGAAGTATGAAAATAGATACACAGCGCGCAATGGTACGGGTATCTGATCATCGAGACCGGTGGACATATTGGGCATAAACGAGCAACTAATAATAGGAAATTCAATAGAAACGAAAAACGGGCAGCAAGATAGAAGAACTTCAGGGCGTGTGTGCATCTACAGAACGGACAGAGACCGTGTACTCCTCTAGCTCTGTTCCGTCATCTCCCTCGCTCGCATCATCTTGGTCTCTTGGATCCAAGTCATCTTCGAGATCGGAGAACGCGTCGGCGTGGCTGTCATCCCCTGCAGATGGATTAGCGATGTCGGCGGCGAACTCTATGGTGGAGAGCCATGATTGTAGGTTAGAGTCGCCCTGCGAGTCGGTGAACGATAGAGACTGGGAACTGGATACTTGTGTTGAGCGTTCTGCAGCTTCGCGGATGCAGACGAGGAAGCGAGAGATCAAGATGCTCGACATCCTAAATGCGCAAGGTCTGTGTATGTGAGCATTTACCCGAACCATGGTGCATGAAGTTTTACAGACGCTGTGGTCAAATGTGTAATATCCAGTGCGCCTGTAGCCTGAAACCACTGTTTCAGTATGGCTAATTGGTTGGTCGTTGACAGATACGCACATCACTGAGAGCAACAGTGTCTATGAGGAGGTCTAGAATGTTGAGCAGTGAGATCACGCTGTCCCTATCATGAGTGCTCGTCCGAGGATTCACACTTAATCACTTACACGAAGTATAATGTACCTGTAATCTTGGAGCATGAGCCACCTTTGAATAATACATTGCATCTTTTGGCTTACACTCACCATCTCGGAACATGACTGTGGTGAGATTGGGCCTTGCACCCCACACCTCACGCACCAGCTGGGTTCTCACAGAGCTCGTATAGCTGATGTAGTACCAGGTCGCTCCAACCACAAGAATGTCCGAGACAACCACGGATGTTCGACTGATGATCACCACTATATGGGAGGTAGGAGCCTCAATAAGGGCTTCTGGGAGCATGCACAGAGATGACTCACTCCTGCAGAGCTCTGTCAGTGCGTAGAACCCGACAGAGTCGGCGAAATCGACATACGTGCTATATGTGGCACCGGGGAGGGACATGATGCTCATACATCCAAGTTGAGGAAGGATAGAAAATGTCTCTCGGGTTGCGCCCCACTATGATACCCCTGATTTAGTCGCAAGCACCTTGTCATACGCGATGCACCCACTATATTGGTGCCCACGGGCACCATACCGAGGAACCAGACCGGAAATACCAGGCACCAGTTGCGTCCGCTCACGACATGTACGCGCAGAGCAGCTACCACTGGGAGGGCATGATAAGTATGTCTTTGAGGACAAGAATCGCATTCCTTACACGGTGATATGACGGTGGTGACAACGAAAAGTACTTGATTGGTATACCCGGAAGACTCACATCTGGCAGGACAAATATTTCATAAACAAACGTAACCTGATATCGACGAACTGACCTCTGAAATATACATTGTCAATACGATGTCAGCGCCTCACAAAAGGAGTGCTCCATACTGATGTAGTCATGATTGGAAGAGGCATAAATGTTATCATATTACCAGCAATAGCAAACCAGTTTATGGAGGACAGTAGTGTTGCAAGCGATCTTCGCCCCCACAGGTGTCGTACATCATGCGGCAAGTTCAAAGTGACATAATAGACCATGAGTGCTGGGAGGCCAATTATTGCTGGAGTACCAGACAGATAACAGAGCTAGTACAGACCACCAGAGGCATAAGTCAAACAATTCGCTTGAAAGCTAATCCATGCTACAGATGTTAAGTCTCATGGTATAACGTGAATGTGATGTGATCACTTGCCCCAATTTCAACAACTCCTCGATGGATTGTTCTGACCCTGACATAGTCTGTCGAATGATTAGTGTGGGTGGGTTAGGAGGTGGATAGGGAAGATGGTGATGAGACAGCTGCAATATCTGAGTCTGTATATATATTTGTCCCGAGCATGGACCTCTGCAGCTAAATTATGTTGCAAAGCAGTCTGATCCACGTCGCATAGCCTGTGCTCAACTGAAGCTACACTGTACAGGAGCTCCAGCGAATTCAAGGGGTCTCAAGTGAGAGGATCAGGCATGAGAACAATGTTATCAATCAGTAACAATTGTAACCTACATTCACATGCCTGAGCAATTTTCCATCGTACCCCATATCGATACAATGGCGAGCTCCTGGAAACTGAGAAACTGAGACGGTGCGTACTGTTCATCTTCACTCCATAGATAGAAGGGGAGCATTTGTAAACTTGATAACGTTCATTGCGGACACGATCAATCATATGCTTGAATGGCTCATTACTTATCTGCTTCGGCGATCGTCAATTATCTCCAGATGCACCTGGGAAAATGCAGTTTGAGCTGTTCTGACAGGTAGACGTCACGAAAACATCACACAAATGTGTATGCTTTCTCTGTGTTGCAGATAGAAGCCCAGCGGCCACCGTTGCGAATTGCGACAGACCGAGTTGACGTTGACGATGTAGCAGGTCATGCCAACGGGTCACAATGTTAGTGGGGGTAGTCTATGTATCGAGACTGAGATATCCGAAGAGTTGAGGCAGCACAGGACTTGGTATCCGGCGAGTTGAGGTGACAGAATACTTGAGATTCGGCGAGACACCACAACGGGTGTTTCCTTTGCTTATGACCGCGATGTCGGGTATTCTATTCGAGTCTTAGATTCTCCGCTGTGTTCTGTGCATGCCCCGAGTACGATGCCCTAGAGTGTGTCCGCTTGCGCACTCACGACGAAGTCTCCCATATGCGATTTGCAACCCCGGAAGCTAGTCTGCACCATCATTCCCATAAAGCCATAAGGTTCGTGATTCCAACACCTGCACCATCACGCAACATTTGGGAACTAAGGAGACCTGCGTACCTCGCTCGAGCCGAGACAAATAGACGAGTCACCAACTCATCCGTCCCATCGCGACCTAGAGTGGTTAATGTTAATCATCAGCTCACGGCAACCGTCCATTCCGAATCGTTGCATTGCTCAGCCATGGCACGACATGTAACAGATGCGGCTTTGGTGGCGTTATCGCCTTCGAGTTATAAACGGGGACGAAGCGCATAGAAATACGCTTCCGAGCGTGGAATACCGTGCCACCCGCACCTGCCCTGTGGCAAAAGACCCAGCGTGCATCACTAGCACTCAGAGCAGAGCGTGATACTGATCGTCATGATAGAACGAGCGACGGAAATGATACAGCGCGTCGGCGGCCTGTTAAATATGCGCAGAGGTGAAGTGCGTTGACAGCAATTTGAATCCCAGTGACGACAGACCTCCCTCTGAGAACCCATATGCAGGGTGGTACCTGGTGAAACCAGGCAGGGCCTCTCTAAAACATATAAGTTGGCTCTCAAGGCAAGGGAGAAAGTTGGCAGGTTATGATGTGGATGTCTATACGCTATGCGATGGCACTATGAAGTCACTGCAATGGCTCGGCGGTGATTTCTGTGCCGGTGTCGCCTCCTACCGTTGCGTCTGCCCCATAGAAGAGGTAAGCATTATATGTCCGCAATTGATAAGGTCAGCATAGCAATACACGGAAGCGCCAGAAGCCAATGAATGATAGTACAGTAGCTGTGCTGAAGTTTGCACTCTATCACGGCTTGGGCAGCAGCTTAGCGTACTGGGGCCTTTCCTTGGCCTTCACGGCTCTCAACGACTCCTTCATGTCCTGTGCTATGGTTCAGACAAAACACTTCCATCTCAGAATGGGCGGGACGCTTACAGCTGTCTGGAGCATAGTGCTATTCCACGTGACGGAGCAATCTAAATCCTCCTATACCCTGTGCGGCACCAGTGTCAGATGAGATGGATGCAGTCTATTGTGTTATGCTGCACGGCTACTAACGAATGGTCCCGTGCATGCACTAGCAGGTGCTTCGTCGCCAGCACCGCGACGGGCGATTTCTGTGCGATCACGCCGGCGAGCGCGAGCGCGGCGCGCACGACGACGTCGCGCCTGCCGGAGACGACGCGCAAGACAAAGCCCGTGCGCTCCGCCTCGTCCGCGGAGAAGTTGCGCGCGGTGTACGCGAGCTCGTGCACGAGGCTCTGGTTGCCCGCAATCTTGGGCAGGCGCGCGAGCGTGCCGATGTCGGCGGCGAGGCCGACGTCTGCTTTCTGCAGCGAACATCAGCGTGCAGGGGCGAGTCGCGAGTGTGGCGCACACACCTTGATCACGAAGACGGCGTTGGACGCGGCGTAGCGCACGTCGAACGCGCTCACGATGTCGATGTCGAGGCCGAGCGCGATGCCGAGCGCGGCGGCGATGACGGGGTAAAGGCAGCGCTCGACGGCGGCGATGGAGTGCTGGAACGCACGGATGTGCGGGCGCAGCTGGAGGGCGCGCCTGGCGGGCTCCGCGGCGGGGCCGGCTGGGTACGCAGACGCCCAGACCCCGATCACTTCCCCCAGCGTGATCGCTGTCATACGTCGCATCGCGACAATATAGCGGCTGTCTCTCTCTCTTGTCTATTGCTGTCTACCCAAAACAAAGAACTCGTCGCATCTCCCCCGCGCACAGACTCGGCCGTCCGCTCCGTCCGCGACTCGAGCAGGGAGCCTGTGGTGGGAGCGAAACTGCCTGAGCGCAGCAGTTCTCAGGTGGGATGCGCGGGAGGGGCTACCCTTCATCGAACGCATTCACAGGTGGATATCAAGGAAACGACGATGTTCGGAGCACGGGCAATGATTGTCTGGATTTCATGAACTGTATGCGGGCCACTGCGGCCTTTTTCCGTGCAATCCACCGCGGGGAGCGATCGAGTGCGTCTGCAGCTCGCTCGTTTATTCGGTCACCGTTACTGTGCATGATATTCAGAGAGACAGGACCCTGCTCTTCAGCTCTTTTCATATCATTGATAACACTTCCGGACTCGTGACTCTAGCAAATTTAAAGCATAGCCGACCGCCCGGAAGAGGATTCAAGATATGCACGTGAGTCTGGCGATATCAGCGGTGCCATTGTGGCCTTAAGGCTTGAGTACTGAGCACAAAGTGATTGAGACACTATCGGGGGTGGGACCAACCCGAATTTGCCTGCCGAATCTGCTGTGCGCCTGTCGCGCGTCGCGTCGCGGTGCGCGCAACGTGAGCGTGACAGGCGCGTTACGGGACGCGTCTCCGATCGCTGAGCGTGGGTGCAGCGCTCGCAGCCTCCTCGTGTATCTAGTATACTACGTTCTGCTCACCCGTCCGCCGCCGCTATGCACGCACGACGCGCATTGTATGCTGTGCGACAAAATGCACGCGCATTCAGGGTAGCCCCTCCCTGTTCCGCCAGGGCCCCTCCTAAGCACACCAGCGTCGGGGTAGATGCGTAGTCGCTGTAGTCCGCAACACCCGCGGCAGCTGCTCCGAAGCCCGCCAAAGCAGGCACGACGCACGTCTTTTACGATGAACCGAGTGGAACGGGTGCGCGGAACGTGCCAGCGCTGACATCGTTTCGCGACAAGGTGGAGGACGAGAGGCCGGCGATCGTCAGAAAGCGGTCGGGAGTGCTTTGAAGCAGGTGCGCGCGCTTGGCGAGGGCGTGCACGGACAGACCGTCTTCGTCGACGCTTCGGTGGACCCACATGCTACGTGTGAGACGTGCTGGACTTGCTGTCTGTGTTGTGTGCAGCTTACACTATGGCTTCGCTGTTGCGACTCACCTTGTAAAATTCGAATTTACGCTGTAGACGAAGCCACCGTCACCGTTTCATCCGAATTTGAAAGAAGGGATTCCGGATAAGCTCTCATTCCAGCCTCTTACTGAACATGAAGGCTGGAAGACCGGGGCTGTATATGCGCGAGCGCAGAACCTGGCACGGACAGTACGTCTTATTATTTTAGCATCATGAAAAAGTCGTATTGTCATAGAAGCCCATGACATAGTTGGCAGAAGTGCCCAGCAACATGATGACACCTTCGGTCTGTGAACTTCCGAGACTAAGAAGAGCAAACCATGTAGCTAACTAGCTGGAGAGGTTGAATACCAGGCCTTTGTAGAGCGGATAGAGAGGGAGCTTTCTGGTGTACCGATTGTCGAGATCATCGTCCGGGACGAAGGTACCTCCTTGCCAATCTCGGGGTCTCGATTGTACACACTTCCTGAACACTAGACTGACAAACGCCGCTTGACCCAATCACAAATTGTGCAGCAAAGAAAGGCATGGTGCGTAACTGCCGTGTCCTCGCCCGTTGTGTCTTCTCAGCCGCCATGTTCCCTATACTTCAGAATGCCTTTCTTTCCGTGACGAAGGGCACCTCTGAGCCGGCCAAGCTCCACGAGATGTACGCCCTGCAATTGTCGCATTATTGTTGCGGAGCACCCCTCATCCTGACCTGCGTGCTGTAGCCACTACAACGGCGGATCCAGCGATACACAACCCATCCTCCTCGTTGGGAAGGGCGTTACCTTCGATACGGGTGGAATTTCGCTCAAGCCTTCAGCAGGGATGAAGCTAATGCGTGGCGACATGGGTACGTGCCCGAGCGGCTTGCCGTTCGCTCGGTTGACACTGACTCAATTCTGTGCCGGCAAGGCGGCGCTGCGGCGGTCTGCTCCGCGGCGCTCGCCGTCGCACAGCTCGGGCTTCCGTACGTCCAATGAACTCCCCTCTCTAACCTGTGTTGACGGAGTCGCACACCTTACTCTCGCAGAATCAACCTCAAGGTGCTGACGCCGCTCTGCGAGAACATGCCCGGGCCGAGCGCGAACAAGCCGGGAGACATGTGAGCCGAACTTGCATGCCAAGGGCACACCGCTTGCTGAGTTAAGGACGCTCGACAGTGTCTATGCGATGAATGGCAAGTCGGTCGAGATCGACAACACGGACGCCGAGGGTCGGCTTGTGCTCGCAGGTGCGGATTGCGGATTGCGGACTGCAAAAGGAGGGGCGGTTTCTGACGTGCTGATTTGACGAAGATGCACTGTACTACGGGTCAACGACGTTCAAGCCGCACACGATTGTGCACGTCGCATCGCTAACAGGGTTGATTGATATTATCTGCGAGTGTCCTGATTGGGGCCTTCTTCCAGAGGGATGAGCGTCGCACTAGGCGAAGCCTTCACCGGTGTATACACAGTAGGCTCTCCGCTCTAACACTTCGGCCACCCGACTGACCGACGATTCAGAACTCGGACAGCCTCTGGCAGGAGCTGGACAGCGCCGGAGCACGTGAACACGACCGGTTCTGGCGAATGCCGCTCGACGACGAGTACGGACCGCAAATCCACTCGTCGAGCGCTGATCTATGCAACGTGCGTGCGCTAAGAGCAGTCAGTGGACGACTGCGCGTTGAACTGATGTTGGTCCTGCCCTCTGTAGATCGGCGGCAGGGCTGCGATAAGCTGCACGGATGCGCTTTTCCTGAAGGCATTCGTGGACGGTGTCGAGCCTGGTAAGGATGGCGCGACGGCTGTGGTGCGGTGGGCACATCTCGATATCGCGGGGACAATGGAGGTATGTGCGCCACAATTGTGTGTCCCTGAACCGCTGACACGGTATTATTTTAGACAACCCGAGGATATGCGTACCAAGACAAGGGGCTGACGGGTTGCCCTACGCGGTGAGTGAGACGGTGACGTTTGTTTGTCCTAACGCTCATATGTCGTCAGTGCTTTGATCGAGATTATGAAGGCGACTGCACCATAGTACGGATGTAAAAGGCACCTAGAGCCAACACTACCAACTTTTCGATCTGTATCCGAAGCATACAAATAAATACACAGTGTGCAGTAGTGCGGGTACCTGACCATCGAGACCGGTGAGCGTACTGGGCGAAACGAACGACAAATAAATAAATAACGACGTCAGAAGAAACGGAAAATTGGACAGCCATATTGAAGAACTTCATCAGGGCGTGTGTGCGTCTACAGAACGGACAGAGACCGCGTACTCCTCCAGTTCTATTCCGTCATCTCCCTCGCTCGCGTCTTGGCCTCTTGGATCCAAGTCATCGTCGAGATCGGAGAATGCGTCAGCGTGGCTGTTATCCCCTGCACAGGGATTGGCAATGTCGGCAGCGAACTCCATACTGGAGAGCCGTGGTTGTGGGCTGGAGTCGCCTTGTGAATCGATGAACGACAGAGACTGGGAGCTGAATGCGTGTGTTGAGCGTTCTGCAGCTTCGCGGATGCAGATGAGGAAGCGGGAGGTCAGGATGGTCGACATCCTATACAATGAAAGGTTTCCGGTGTGAGTATCTACCGGGATTATGGATGAGGGTTTACAGACGCTGTGGTCAGGTTTGTTATATCCAGTGTGCCTAGATTCTGGAGCAACTGTTTCGGTATGGCCAATCAGTGAGTTGGTGACGAATACGCACACCACTGAGAACAATTGTGTTCACGATGAGGTCAACAATGTTGAGCAGCGACATTACGCTGCACCTATAATGAGTGCTCGTCTGAGGATCCACACTTCTTTACTTACAGGAAGTACAATGTACCTGTAATCCCGAAATATGAGCCTCCTTGGTATATTGATTGCATCTTTTAGCTAGAACTCACCATCTCGGAACATGACAGTGGTGAGATTAGGCATTGCATTCCACACATCACGCACGAGCTGTGTTTTCACAGAGCTCGTATCGCTAATGTAGTACCAGGTTGCTGCAACTACAAGAATGTCTGAGACAATCACAGATGTTCGAGTAATGATAACCACTATATAGGGAGTATGAACTTCAGGAAGGGTTTCTGGAAGCATGCACAGAGATGGCTCACCCCTGCAAGGCCTAATCAGTGTGTAGATCCCGACAGAGTCAATGAGATCTGCATACATGTTATATGTGGCATCGGAGTAGGAAGTGATGCCTTCACATCCAATTTGTGAAAATATACCAAATGTCTCCTGGGTTAGGTTCCACTGTATTACTCCTCGTTTAGTCGCAAGCACCTTGTCATACTCGCAATACCCACTATATTGGTGGCCACGGGCACCATACCGAGGAGCCAGACCGGCAATACTTGCGTCCGCTCACGGCATGTACACGCAGAGCGGCTACCACTGAGAATGCAAAATAAGTATGACTATGAGAGCGAGGATTGCATTCCTTACACGGTGATATGGCAATGGTGAAAATGCCCAGTATATGAGTGGCATACACGTAAGATTCACAACTGGTGGTACATATATTTTATAGACATAGGTAACCTGATAGCAAGGAGCTGACCTCTGAAATGTGCATCTTCAATACAATGTCGGTGCCTCACAAAATGGATGCTTCTTACTTGTGTAGTATTGACTGCGAAAGGCATCAATGTTATGATATTACCTGCGATAGAAAGCCAGTTCATGGACGACAGTAGTGTTGCAATCGATCTTTGTCCCCACAGGCATCGTACATCATGTGGGAAGTTCAAGGTGGCATAATAGACCAGAAGTGCTGGGAGGCCGATCATGACTAGAGTATCGGAAAGACAACAGAGACACTGACCAGCAGAGGCATAATCCAAGCAATTCGCTTGAAAGCTAGCCCACGGCACAAATGTTAAATCTCATGGTATGAAGTGGGTGTGATGTTTTCACTTGCCCCAATTTCAACAACTCCTCGATGGTCTGTTCTGACCCTGACATAGTCTGTCAAATGATTATCGTGGATGGGATAGGAGGTGGATAGGGAAGATGGTGATGAGACAGCTATGAGAACTGTGTCCATATATATGTCCCAAGCATGGACTGTGGCTAAATCACATTGCAAAGCAGTCTGATCCACGTCGCATAGCCTGTGCTCAACTGAAGGTACACTGTACAGGAGCTCCAGCGAATTGAAGGGGTCTCAAATGAGAGGATCAGGCATGAGAACGATATAATCAATCAGTGTTTATCGGAACCTACCATTCACACGGTTGAGCAATCATCCATCATACTCCATACCGATACAATGGCGAGCTCCTGGAAACTGAGAAACTGAGACGGTGCGTACTGTTCATCTTCACTCTATAGATAGAAGGGGAGCATTTGTGAACTTGGTAACGTTCATTGCGGACACGATCAATCATATGCTTGAATAGTGCACTACTTATCTGCTTCGGCGATTGTCAATTATCTCCAGATGCACCTGGGAAAATGCAGTTTGAGTTGTTCTGACAGGTAGACGTCACGAAAACATCACACGAATGTGTCTGCTTTCGCTGTTGCAGGTTGAAGGTCAGCGGCATCGGTTGCGAAACGCGACAGACCGAGTTGACGTTGACGATGTAGCAGGTCATGCCAACGGGTCAGGATGTTAGTGGGGGTAGTCCATGCATCGAGACTGAGAGATCCGGAGAGTTGAGGCGGCAGGATACTTGATATCTATCGAGTCGGGGTAACAGAATACTTGAAATCTGGCGAGACGCCGCAAGGGGCGTTTCGTTTCTTTCGTCAACGACTCCGACGTCCGGTATTCTATTCGAGTCTCAGGTTCTCCGCTGTATTCTGTGCATGCTTTGAGTACAATGCCCTAGAGTATGGTCCGCTTGTACACTCACGACGGAGTCCCCCGTACGCGAAACCATCAGGCTCGTGATTGCAACACCTGCAGCATCACGCGACATTCGGGAACTACGGAGATCTGCGTACCTCGCTCGAGCCGAGACAAATGAACGAGCCACCAGCTCACCCATATGCAGGGTGATAGCTGGTGAAACGAGGCAGGGCCTCTCCCAAACACATCAGCTAGCCCTCAAGGCAAGGGAGAGTGTTGTCGGGTATTTCCAGGATGCAAGTGAGCGAGAGACACGAAAGCACCAAAGGGAGGAGCGTAGCGCGACGGGGGGATGGTCGACCGGACGTGGCTTCGTGCTTATTTCATTGAGAATAGAATTGGATACTTGACCGACTTGACCAAGACAATTAAGCCGAGTAGGCGCGAAATTGAGTTTCCTGTCTCCGCTTCGGCACATATCGAGTCCAAGGAATCTAAGGTTATGGTAACAGCTAGTATCCTTTCAGCGACGACGTACAAGGCGCATCAGATAAGTTCTGGCTATCTGTGAAGGTGCATCGGCTCTCCACTTTTGCTTCGGCTATGTCGACATTTGCTCTTCTCAGAATTCATAGCGTAAAAAAGGTCGCATGAAACCTACTTTCAATAAGACGATGCGGGGTGTTATTAGAATCAGAGGGCAGACTTGTCCCGCCGTGATTTGCTGATCAAGATGCCTGGAGAACGTAAAAGACCGGTATATTCAGTCACAACTAAATTGGAAGAGCACAATACATGTATTGCAGTGCGAAAGAAAGGGGACAGAATCTTGAACGCGTACTAGGGCGTACTGCGCACGGGGCTAGCGCTAAGTACCAAACGATGTGGGCGCTTATGGAACTCGTCACTTTGCACATCCGCTTTTGGCAAGTCTTCTAGTTGGCGAGTTGGCCCACTTGAACGCACGCCGCTATTGCCGGGCAGTCTTCAGAAACTGCTTGATAGCATAGATTCACCTGATGCTCACCATGGACGCCATGTCCTGCTCAGTAGGTCTACCGGCTCACGTGAACTCCGTCGTCATCGTGGCACGAGGAAATGTCTTCAAATGAATGTACCAGGCCGCAAATCCTCCGCAAAAAAGCCAAAACGCGCCACCACAAGGTGCGTAGTCTCCATTCACCTGATACCTTCCCCATGTAACATGACTCCCTCTACGGTCTCCCTCTACTGGTCTAGTGTAGCATTCAATCCCAGCGCAGAGAGACCGGAAGCACGGCATTGCTGAAATGACGTCAGCGTGTGTCAACGGAGACTTCACTCATGCCACCACAACTCTGCGCACTTCCCGATGCGGTCATATCTGGCCCTTTTATGGAGCTCGGGGAGTGCTCACGGGACCGCGAGGGGGGTTGGCGCATATATAAACCTGTTCCTTGTTTGCGTCGCCCATCTTCGCTCTGTTCTTCACGAACGAACCACGTCCACACGCCCATAGCCTACTATCTCCACGGCTATGAAAGTATCTATACTCCCCTATGTCCTCCTGGCCGCTGTGCCCTCCGCGCTCGCGCAGAACTGGACGTTCCTCGAGGGCCTCATCAACACTCTCGAAGGCGCAGGCTGTACCACCCTCACAGGTGCCGCCTCCCAGCTCAACTCGAGCGACCAAGGGAAGTCGCTCCTCGCCACCCTCTCCAGCGGCGAGCCGTACGTCCTGTTTGCCCCGGACAACACAGCCTGTAAGTTGACATTGTTCAACTTCCATCGTGCGCGTGTCTGACCGTGCTCTGGAGTCTCCAACGCCCCCTCGAACCTCACGTCTGACATCACCGACCTGTTCGCATACCATGTCGTCAGCGGCAATTTCAGCGGCGTCGCGACGACGTATCCGAACGTCACCCTCGGTCGCACCTTCCTCAACGACACCCAGTATGTACAGCTCGAGGGGAACAAGAGTCAAGTCCTTGCATGGGCAATCCGTTCCGATGGCAAGACTCACGTGCTCAACCAAGTGTAAGCCCTCGGTATATATTGTACACACCATACTTATTCCTGGCGTTCCCAACAGTAATGACTCTACCGTAACTAATACCACGACGTACGGCAATGTCACCATCAACGTTGTCAGCTCAGTCCTTGCCTACCCGGCCTCTTTCACCAATTCGGTTCCCTACGTGAACTCTTCGCTCACGTCGCTGGAGTCTACGCTGACCAACGTCAGCGTGCCTTTCTACAACTCGAGTACGGGCTCTTTGAGCAACGCTTCAGTGCTTGATGTCGTGAACAGCGGCTTGCGCGGCTTCACGTTATTCGCGCCGAACAACTCTGCACTCGCGGCGATTCAGAACGGCCTTGCTACCCTAGAAAGCAACACGAGTCTACTCCAGATTATCCTGGACAATCATGTACGTGCATCACGCCGATCACTGGGGGGCTTTTCCGGCTGACACATCAATGGCACAGTTGATCAACGGCACAAGTGTGTACTCTCCAGAGCTTGTCGGACAGAGCTTCGTCTCTGCTGCCGGCGAGGCCCTCACGTTTGCCATCAACGAGACCGGTCAGTACGTCACGAGCGGCAACACCACGGCACAGATTGTGCAGCCGGACGTGCTTCTCAGGAACGGCGTCGTGCATGTGATCGACCGGGTGCTGGTCAACACGGAAGAGAACGCCAGCGCAGCGAGCTCCGCGTACGTAACTTCTGACCGTGCATTGATGTACGTACTATATTGACACCCGCCTGTGATTTGTAGCGCTGCCTCTGCTACATCCGCCGCTGCGCATAGCACGACCGAGACACGTCCGATTGGGTACTCGCAGACAGCTACGCTGGATGGCGCTTCTGGCGCGGGTGCATCGTCCACTTCCGCGAGCAAGAAGAGCTCGGCCACGAGCGTGTTGATGGGCGCCACTATTGGCCAGATGGTCGCTGCGGGTCTGACGGCGCTTGGTATCGCTGTGGGTGGGTTGATGACCTTTGGGTAAGATGACGGTGAATTCGTGACCGGTGAGACTTTGTGTTCGGGGTCTATAGTAGGAAAGCAGTAGGCGAGATCGATGTTCGTCTCTGATGTACAGTACATACTACAGCTTGTATAAATGGTAGTCTTTTCGGCAGCAGGTTGTGTTACGGGGCGAGACTTTCATCGACAAGGCTGTGGGTATCCGAGAGCTGGTGTCACGCGCCTGCCATTCAGGTTGCAGCCGGCGAGACTCGGACTTCCGAGTCCAGAAAGGAGGGTCTGCAAGTTCGCCCCTGCTTATCTTGCTCAGCTTGACATTCTTCGCGAATGCACGTGCAAGGCGTGCTTTATTACTATGCATCAAGCGATTCGACGGCGCTTGTATGTACAATGCAGTAGACCTCTTCCGTTCTCATTGGCGCCGCTGCAGTGCGGAGATGAGTCGAGGTCGAGTCACTTGTCGTGTTCGCGTTCTCACCGAGCAAGCCGCATAGCGCTTATCGGGAGATTCGGAGAGCAGGATGGTCAGTATATAATATCTAGCCGGGGTCGGCTGCAGCCATCCCCACTCTCGACTCGGCCCGCCGCCCACCCGTGCTTGGATCTGAAGAGCGCATCACAGCGCCCCTATACTCACCCCACACAGCACTATCACTATCACTATCACTAGCACCAGCACCACCGCACCATGGGCAAGTTCTACGACGCGATCCCGCCGAACCTCGTCAAGTGGATCGACGCCCAGCAGATGTTCTGGGTCGCGTCCGCGCCGCTGCGCGGGGACGGACACGTGAACGTCTCGCCGAAGGGCCTCCGCGGCACGTTCCACGTCGAGCACGCGAACAGGGTGTGGTACGAGGACTTCACGGGGAGCGGTGAGCAATGCCGCCTTCCTCGCGCGCGCGCGCGCAGAGCTGACCCAGACATGAATACAATGCGGCGCATACAGGGAGCGAGACGATGGCGCACCTGCGCGAGCCGGGCAACGGGCGCATCACGATCATGCTCTGCGCGTTCGACGGCGCGCCGCGGATCATGCGGCTCTGGGGGCGAGGTGCGTGCGACCCCGCCATCCGGCGCGGCGCGGATCTGCGCGAGTGCCTGTTGACGGCTGGCTGCGGCAGGCACGGTGTACGAGTTCGGCACGCCCGAGTACGAGGCGCTCCTCCCGCTCGAGACGCGCCGCCCGGGCTCGCGCTCGGCGGTCGTGGTCGACGTGCACAAGGTCGGCACGGTGCGTGCGTCCCCTGCTAGTAGCGTGCATGCGCCAGGTCGAGCTCAGATTCTGACCTCCGTTCGCCTGCCCCTGTAGTCGTGCGGCTTCGCGGTGCCTCTGTACACGTTCAAGGCGCACAGACCGATGCTGCTCGACTTCGGCGCGAAGCTTGAGGAGAATGAACTGAAGGCCGCAGCGGGCACGGAGGAGAAGGCTGGGGGAGTGGGCCTGAAGGCGTACTGGGTGAAGGAGAACCTGCAGAGCCTTGACGGGCTGCCCGCGATGCGGGCAGCGCACCTGTCGGAGGTAATGCCGCGGCACATACCTGCGAACGGGGAGTGGGGGAAGGGGGCGCGCGACGGTGGGGTCGATGCAGACGGATCGGAAGTGGCATCGGTGCGTAAGAATACGAACGAAGAGATGGTGAGGCTCGTGTTGGCCTTCTCGATGGGCATTGCTGTTGCGGCGGTGTACGTTAAAGTGTCGGGGATGGCATAGGCAAGCTTGGAAGCCCTGTGCTGTACATTAGGTGCGTGGAGTCCGCTGCTACATTCTGCATGGTCGCTGATGTCTATTCGTGCATCTTAGCATCCAATTTGTTGTACCTGCTACCTGTTGTTGTAAATTATGTATCACCACTCGCTATCCGCCACATCTCTCACCTCATGGTGACTTCATGACCGAACGATGGATCCTCCCACCGTCCGGCCATAGCATTGTCTAAGAGAGCAGGGCGGCATTCCATTAGTGCAACGGGTCTACAAATTATACGAAATCCGCTTAGATACTTTCCAATGTGCACAGTGCTCACGCAGCCAACGCGCCGACCCTCTTCCTCATCTCCTTCGTCCTGCTCGACCCACGGCCCTTCGTCTTCCCGAAAACGACCACCTTGCCCTTCTCGCCCGCGCGCCCCGAGCGCCCTGCGCGGTGGAGGAAGTCCGCCATGTTGCGCGGCTCGTCGACGATGAATACGTGCTTGATGTCCGGCGCAAAGTCCAGGCCCCGCGAGAGCAGCGACGTCGTGACCAGCACATGCGGGTGTTTGCTGACGTCGCCCCAGCCAGCCTTGTCCGCCGACTCCGCCTCAGCCTGCTCCTGCTCCCCAGAAGGCGGAGGCAGGGCCGCAGCAGCGCCCTCCTTCTCTGCGGGACCGCGTCTGAACGGGCGCAGGAATCCGTCAAGGTGGTGGTTCGACCCGTGCAGGCGTGCGTCGCTCGTGCTCGTCAGCGCCACCGTCGCAATGCCCTTCTCGTTGAGGTAGCGCCCGAGGTCCTGCGCGCGAGTGTTCTTGTTGCAGAACACGAGCACCTTCGAGCGCCGTGCGGAGCCGCGCAGCGCGTCCTCGTGCCACACGCGCCGCAGGCGGTGCTCGACGTCTGCTTGGCGGTTCCCGCCCGTCCACGCCGCGTACTCCGTCTGCAGCGTCGCCGGCAGGTGGTGCAGCCGCGGCGACGCCAGGCGCGTGAGCGCGGGGTGGTGCGTGTCGAGGTACCATGCGAGCGCCGACGGGATCGTCGCGGTGCTCAGCAGTAGATGGTACGGATAATTGAGCGGCGCGGGCGTCTCGGGGCTCGGCCGATGCGTCGCCGGGTGGTCGTCGATAGGATGGCCACGCGCCTCGCTGATCGCTGTTAGGAGCGTTTTGGTCTGCTGCTCGAAGTCAGCGTCTGCGGGGACTAGGTCAGCAAGCGCGTCGGCGGGGCCGGAAAGAATAAAGGGGACATACCAAACAGGACGTCCGCCTCATCGACGACGACCCACTCGACCCTCTCCAGGCGCATGGACGGCCTGCCGAGATGCCTCTGTCTGGGAGCAACCTTATGGCCGCGGTCATCCACGGGCCATTCCTCCTCGGGCGGCTCGACGTAGTCCCAGTTCCGCCCCTTCACCATCTCAAGGATCTTTGCCGGCGTGCCCACCGCAACGTCCACCTCGCCCAGCTGCTTGCGCATCTCCGGGCCCGCCGCGTCGTCGCCCTCCACGAGCGCGTCCGCGAGCTTCGCCATCTGCGCGGCCGTCACGCTCTTGCTCTCGCGCGCCGGCAGGTTCTTGTTCGACACGCACAGCACGCGCAGCTTGATGTTGTGTAGCAGCCCCTTCGCGAAGCCGGACAGCTGGCGCGACAGCTCGTGCGTCGGCGCGAGCACCAGCGCGCGGGGGCCCATGAGCCCGTGCGTCTTCGCGCGCTGCGCAGCACCGGACGCGTCCTGCAGCTCGGCGAGCTTGAGGTCCTGCAGCATCGGCAGCAGATACGCCATCGACTTCCCTGAGCCCGTCTCGGCCGCGAGCAGCGCCTGCAGCCACGCGTTGTCCGTATTGGGGTTGGCCGGCGCGTCCAGCTTGCGCTTGAAGAGGTGCTTGAGCGACAGCGCCTGGATCGGCGTCGGCCGCGCCTGTGCGCCGAGCAGCGCGTGCACGGACGCGAGCAGGCCGGGCATGAGCGGCGGAGACGCGAACGCGCTCGGCAGCTCGCGCGTGGACACGGCCCGCGCGGAATTGTCGAACTCGTCACTCAGCGGGTTGTACACCTGCGGCTTGCGCGGCGGCGCGGCAGGCGCAGACTCAGTCATAGAGGCAGAGGCAGAGGCAGATGCGGGAGCGGGGTGCTTCACGCCAAAGCTGTCTGCCCTCTGCTTTTGTGCGTCCAGCCTGTCCTTCGACGTGCGCCAGGGCTTGTCGAAGTTGGGCACGTCGGCGTTGGTGCGCGCGCCGGATCCGCCGCCCGCCCGCGCTTTGTATCCCGGCGTCTGCCCGAGCTCAGAGTGCCAGCGGCCCTTGCGCCGGAGCTGGGTGTGTTCCAGCCGCTGCCGCTTGCGGTCGACTATTTCACGGATGGTCTGCTTGTGCGCCTCGCGCTCCTTGAACTCGTCGCGGGCGGTCTTGTGCGGCGCGTCCTCGCGTACGGGCGGCGCTGCCACGACGAGCTTGCCCGACGCATGCTGCGACTGCGAGCGCGGCGTGAGGTCCTTGACGAGCCGTCTCCGCGAGGGCGGTGCTGGTGCGAAAAAATCAGTCTCGGTGCGAGAGCAGGCTGAGGCGTGAACAGCACAACCTACTCGACGGGGATGGTGACTTTGACGGCCCTCCTTTGGACTTTGAAAACCCTCCTTTGGAATTCGAGAACCCTCCTTTGGACACTCTGCGGCCTTTTGGTGCCTGCCCTAGGCAGGGTGTGGTCGTATGTAGGCAAGAAGCCCACAGTTCGGGCGGTAGATACGATGCATGGCGAATGGCAGACCTCGTCGATACAAGAAACGACATGTATCACGGGCTTGCCAGCGTCGTTTTGCGTACGAGTACGCCTGACGGCTCGAAGGCGACGGTCTGGGGGTTACAGACGAGAACGAGAGCCCAAAACTCGCACAGCGAGTGGAAGATAGGGTACGGTGAAATAGGCCGGGCTGATTAGCCTCGGTTAATTAACCCTTGTGAAAGAGCGCTAATCAGCGATAAATTTCACGAGGCCCGAAAAAAACAGGGTTAAGTGACCTGCGCTGATATTGGCCATGGTCATATTCAGTCACTGGGCGACTTAACCGTCAGATAAGGGCTCATCGGCCGTATTCTGTACCGGCTAATCAGCTGTAATTTACGTAGATTACTTTGACCTCTCGTACAGCCCTAGGTCAACTAGCCGGTTGAGCAGGTCACCGTAGCTATTTAACTGTACATACCCTAGTGAAAGACCAGGTTTGTGAGAGAAAGAAGTTCAAGCGGCTGAGATCTCAAGCCGAGCCAAAAAGAAACTCGGATACTACAGCGCTTGTACAAGTGCTCATATTCCGTTTTCGAGCACTCAAGAATCGGCAACCGTATCACACCAAAAACACAGTGACTCCATCAAAGAATCCTCCGTTTTGCTAGACTACTAGTGGCTGAGAATGGCATCTATTGATTCTCACGGTGCAATACAACGCACGGCGTATAATAAGGTGGGATCATCTGGGCGCAATGTACCGCTGCCAACAAATATAACAGCATATAGATATATGGGGCGTGCAAGCTGGGGCATGTCATCAAGATGTTGTACGAGTTGGCTAAGAATCATACTGAGGAAAGACTAAGTTCAGCACGGCCGATCTCACGAAATAGCACGCACAAGGAGGACATACCGTGGATCATAACAAAGGACACCCTTCGAGTCCTTCGCCCAGTCTCCCAACCAACGCCAACTACCTGAACCCATACGTGCGCAACTACAACCACAGACCCGCCGGGCTACTGGCATAGACAACCCCCTCCTCATGTGGGAATCATCAGCTCGCCCCACGTTCGCATCGCGGCGATCCCGCCGAAGAACACAACGACGCCGGTAAGGATGCTGAGGTTGCCGGGAACCTTTTCTGGTGCGAAGATCTCCTCACGCATGAACGCCGAGAATGCGGATTCGTTGGGGTCGGCGAGGGCACCACGTCGCGGCGGGGGCGCGCCGGAGTAGTAAGCGGGACCAGAGCCAGGAGGAGCCGCACGTCGAGCCATGAGTGAGATGCGGCGAGTTTTTGATTTGGGTGGACTGCTGGCGAGGGTGAGAGAGAAAGAGGTGAGATGCCGTCAGTTTTCGGGATGCGACGTATGCGGACCCGGAGACCACAGCGATCACTCTGTGGGGAAGTGATCGGGGTCTGCGATGGTTGGCGCTTAACTAGAACTCCTGCTATCATTAGTACCTAAGTATTAGTAGTACTTGCTCATTCCCATCTCGTATTTTTCGTCTGGCGAAAGGCCAACGCATTCCGCAACATGTCCGAGTCAACGTTGAGCACGCTGTCCAGCCAGCACATCAACGTCTCCGAGCCCATCTCTGGTGTTGCTCTCGTCGAGCTATCCCGGTCAGCACCCCGAGTTCTCGCCCAAACACCTACTCAGAGGACTGCCCAGTGCACCTGTGAATGCGTTCAATCAAGGGTGACCCCTCTCGCGCATCCTGTTCAAGAAAATGCCGTGCTCACGCCCTCACGCCAGGCTCTGGACGGACTTTGGGCGCACCTTCGACAGCATCGCACGCGAGCCGTCCGTCCGCGCCGTCGTCCTGGCCTCCGCCCTCCCAAAGGGCTTCTCCGCCGGCATAGATCGTACGTCCCCCGTTCTCCGTACCTAATCCTGGGAGTCACAGGCTGCGCCAGTGAATTCTCTCGGCACGCTCGACGGCCCCGCCGTGGAGCCCGCCAGGCGCGCGCTCCAGCTGCGTGAGCACATCCGCGCGTTCCAGCACTCCATCGCCGCCGTCGAGCGCTGCCCGTATCCCGTCGTCGCCGCCGCGCACGGCATCGCGCTCGGCCTCTCCATCGACATCATGAGCGCGTGCGACGTGCGCTACGCCGCGTCTGACGCCGTCTTCGCGATCAAGGTGCGTGCGCCACACTCGCGCTGCGCACGCCTGCACGCTGACTGTCGCTGCAGGAAGCAGACGTCGGCCTCGCCGCCGACATCGGGACGCTCGCGCGCCTGCCCAAGATCGCGGGCAACCAGAGCCTCGTGCACGAGCTCGCGTACACCGCGCGCAACTTCACCGCGGCCGAGGCGGAGCGCATGGGCTTTGTCTCTCGCGTCGTTCCGGGTGGGCGCGACGATGTCGTGCGCGCCGCGCTCGCGCTCGCGGGCGTGATCGCGCAGAAGTCGCCCGTCGCGGTGCTGGGGACGAAGCACCTGCTGGTGCATGCGCGGGACCACTCGTGAGTAGTTGTGCAGCACAATGCGGTGGGCTATGTTCATCTGATGGTGGCGTTGTCACACAGGGTACAGGAGAACCTGGATTACACCGTCACGTGGAATAGCGCTATGCTTCAGACGGCTGTAAGCGTCTCGTCCGCTCGGAAATGCAAGTGATTTCTCTGAACCATCGCACAGGACATGAAGGAGTCGTTGAGAGCCGTGAAGGCCAAGGAAAAGCCCCAGTATGCCAAGCTGCTGCCCAAGCTGTGATGACATGCAAACGTGCGCACAGCGGGTTTTGTTGCTTCCGTGTATTGCTATGCTGACCTTATCGATTGCGGATGTATGATGCTTGCTTCTTCCATGGGGCAGGCGCAACGGCAGGAGGTGACACCGACACAGAGTTCACCGCCGAACCATTGCAGTGATTTCATAGTGTCATTGCATAGCGTGTGGATATCCACATCACAACTCTCCTACTTCCTCCCTTGCTTTGAGAGCCAGCTTGTGTGTGTTGGAGAGGCCCTGCATCATTTCACCCTGCATACACGTTCACACAGGGGGGTCCGTCGTCACTGGGATTCACCTCTGCGCATATTTGACAGGCCGCTGACGACAACGCCGCGCCACGACAGTGGCATATTTGCTCTACCCCGAGGAAACCATCAGGCAGCCCTGACATGTGCTTCTCGGTCCTCGCTACGCTGCCCTGCGAAACCGTGCTTCATGCTACTGCATTCTCTTTCCATCGTCGGGCGCGCACTGACTACTATGATCAGATCGCAGCGACTATTATTTCATCCTTCATGCCACTTCCCTCGTTCGTCGGAGAGATTGAGTCTTCATACGCCATCCCGCACTACCTCCGTGGTGCAGAATGAATTGTGTTTGGACTACGTGGTTCAGGAAGCCGGCCTCGCGCGTCCCATCATGATCAGTATCACGCTCTGCTCTCGTGCTAGTTTTGCCACAGGACAAGTGCGGGGTGGCACGGTATCTCACGCTCGGAAGCGTACTTTTATGCGCTTCGTCCCCGTTCATAATCCTGAGACGATAACGCAGCCAAAGACGCATCTGTTACATGTCGCGCCATGGCCGAGCAATGCAACAATTCGGAACGGATGGCTGCCGTGAACAGATGATTGAACTATTTTCGGTCGCGATGGCGCGGGTGAGCTGCTGGCTCGTCCATTTGTCTCGGCTCGATCGAGGTACGCAGGTCTCCGTAGTTCTCACATGTTGCGTGATAATGGAGGTGTTGCAATCATGATCCTGATGGCTTCGCGGGAATGACGGCGCAGGCTAGCTTTTGGGGATGCAAATCGCGTACGGGGGATTTCGTCTTGAGTGTACAAGCGGACCATACTCTAGGCGGTGTGCTCGAGGCATGCACAGAACACAGTGGAGAATCCGTGGCTCGAATGGAATCACGAGATCGCTGTCGCAGGCGAAAGAAACGCCCGTTGTGGCATCTCGACGAATCTCAACTATTCTATTACCTCAACTCGTCAGATATCGAGTATACCGCTGCTTCAACTCTCAGGATCTCTCAGTCTCGATACGTGGACTATTCCCGCCAACATTCTGATCCGTTAGCATGTCCTACTACATCGTCGATGTCAACTCGGTCTGTCGCGATTCGCAACCGAAACCGCTGGGCTTCGACCTGCAACAGCGAAAGCACAGCTCGCGTACAGATCTACGTGATATTTTCGTGACATCCACCTGTCAGGTCAGCATAGACTGCATCCTTCCCTATGCATCTCGAGATAATCGACGATCGCTGGGAGCAGACACGTTAATGAACAATGCAAGCAAATCATTGATCGTGTTCGCGGTGAACGTCGCCAAGTTCACAAATACTCTCTTTCTATTTATAGAGTGATGAGCAGTACGCATTGTCTCAGTTGATCAGTTTCCAAGAGCTCGCCATGGTGTCGGTAAGTATGGGGTGCGATGGGCAATTGCTCAGCCGTGTGAATGGTTCCAATAGACACTGGTTTATTACATTGTTCTCATGCTCGATCCTCCCATTTGAGATACCCTAAATTCGCTGGGACTCCTGTAGTCTCAATTGAGCACAGGTTACGAGACATGGATCAGATTGCTTTGCAACATAGTCCAGCCGCAGAAGGCCATGCTCGAGACATATATATATAGACCCAGATCTCGTAGCTGCCTTATTGCCATCTTCCCATATTCCACTTACCATTCCATCCACGACACTCATTGACCAGACTATGTCAAGCCCACTATCGGAACAGTTCATCGAGGACTTCCTTGAATCCAAGCAAGTGAAAAATATCACATCCACCTTATTCCATGAGACTTAACATTCGTGCCTTGGGCTAGCTTTCAAGCGAATTGTTTGACTTATGCCTCTGCTGGTCAGTATCTCTGCTGTCTGTCCGATACTCTCGTAATAATCGGCCATCCAGCACTCATGGCCTATCATGTCACTTTGAACTTGCCACATGATGTACGATGCCTGTGGGGGCGAAGATCGATTGCAACACTGGTCTCTGTTATGAACTGGCTTGTTATTGCCGGTGATATCATAGCATTTGGGCCTCTCCCAATCAATACTACATCAGTATGAAGCACCCATTTCATGAGGTGCTGACATTGTATTAACGATGCACATCTCAGAGGTCGGTTCCTTGTTATCAAGTTACCTATGTTTATGAAACACTGGTCCCACCAGATGTGAGGATGGCGGGTATGCCAGTGAGATACTTTACATTGTCACCGTTGCCATATCACCATGTAAGGTGTGCCATTCCCGTCCTCAGAGTTATACTTATCCTGAATTCTTAGTGGTAGCTGCTCTGCGCGTACATGCCGTGAGCGGGGGCAACTGGCGCCTGGTGTTGCCGGTCTGGCTCCTCGGTATGGTGCCCGTGGGCACTAACATAGTGGGTACATGGAGGATCACAAAATTCGTGCCACTAAACCAGGATTATCAAAGTGGGGCGCAACCCAAGTTACCTTCCTTATATTTCCTCCACTTGGATGTGTGAGCAGCATTACCTACTCAGATGCCACAAGTAATGCGTATGTAGATCTTATTGACTCTGGCGGGTTCTACGCACTAATTGAGCTTTGCAGGAGTGAGTCGTCTCCATGTATGCTTCCAGAAACCCTTATTGAAATTCCTACTCGCCCATATAGTGGTTATCATCAGTCGAACATCCATCGTTGTCTCGGACATTCTTGTGGTTGGAGCGACCTGGTACTACATCAGCCACACGAGCTCTGTAAAGACACAGCTCGTGCGTGAAGTGTGGGATGCGAGGCCTAATCTCACAACTGTCATGTTCCGAGATGGTGAGTGTTATCCGAAAGATGCAATGTAATATGCCATAATGGCTCATGTTCCGGGACTACAGGCACATTATACTTCCTGTAAGTAAGAAAGTATGGATCATCGGACGAGCACTCATTATAGGTGCAGCGTGATCTCGCTGCTCAACATTCTTGACCTCATCACGAACACAGTTACTCTCAATGGTGTGCGTATCCGTCAACGGCTAACTAATTAAACATACCGAAACAGTTGTTCTAGAATATAAGCACACTAAATATAACAAACTTGATCACGGCGTCTGTAAAATCTCACCCGCCATAGTTCCGGTAGACACTCACACCTTAAACCTTTTGTCTTATAGGATGTCGAGCATCTTGATCTCCCGCTTCCTCATCTGCATCCGCGAAGCTGCGGAACGCTCAACACAGGCATTCAGCTCCCAGTCTCTGTCGTTCATCGATTCGCAAGGCGACTCTAACCCACAACCATGGCTCTCCAGTGCAGAGTTCGCCACCGATATCGCTAACCCCTCTGCAGGGGATAACGGCCGCGCGGACGCTTTTTCGGATCTTGAAGATGACTTGGATCCAAGAGATGATGCGGGCGAGGGAAGAGATGGCGGAATAGAACTAGAGGAGTACGCGGCCTCTGTCTGTTCTGTAGACGCACACACGCCCTGATGAAGTTCCTCAACCTCGCTGTCCGTTTTCCATTCTTTCTGACTGTATTATTTATTAGTAGCTCGTTTCCCCCAAGTACGTCCACCGGTCTCGATGATCAGGTACTTGCACTATTGGGCGCTGTTTATTTATTTCCATACTTCTGGTATGGATCAACGTGTTGGCCCTAGGTGCCTTCTACATCAGTACTATGACGCAGCCGCCTTGACAAACTCGATCAAAGCATTGCCGGCACATGAGCGTTAGAAAATAAACTACACTGTCTTGCTCACCGTGTAGGGCGACCCGGCAGCCCCTTGTCTTGGTACGCGTACCCTCGCGTTGTCTTGCAGAATCCTGTGTCAGCGGCTTAGAGATTTGATTGCGAAGCACGTACCTTCATTGTCCCTCCGATGTCGAGATGTGCCCACCGCACTGCAGCCGTCGCGCCGTCCTTACCAGGCTCGACGCCGCACGCAGATCAGGATGAGCAGTGCTCCACAGCAGTGACTTTGATGCTTGCAGAAGAGAGGCCACCAGGCGACGTCAGCGATCACTTTGTGGGAAGTGATCTGGGCCAGGGCGCCTGCCATAGTTAGTACTTGCTTATTCCTATCTGGTCTGGGGAAAGACTCGTGCATTCCGCAACATGTCCGAGTCAACGTTGAGCGCGCTGTCCCGCCAGCACATCAACGTCTCCGAGCTCATCCCTGGTGATGCTCTCCTCGAGCTATCCCGGTCAGCACGCCGTCGAGTTACTCGCCCGAGCACCTCTACTCAGAGGACTGCTCAGTGCACCTGTGAATGCGTTCAATGAAGGGTAACCCCTCTCGCGCATCCCGCCCAAACAATCGCCGCGCTCGCGCACCTTTTCCCTCACCGCAGGCTCTGGACGGATCTCGGGCGCACCTTCGCAGCATCGCCCGCTCTCCGTCCGTCCGCGCCGTCATCCTGGCCTCCGCTCTCCCAAAGGGCGTCTCCTCCGGCATAGGCCGTACGTCCCCCGCCTTCCGTGCCCAGCCCGAGAGTCGACTCCGCGGGCACCGGGACGCTCGCGCGCCTGCCCAAGATCGCGGGCAGCCAGAGCCTCATGCACGAGCTCGCCTACACCGCGCACACCTTCTCCGCGGCGGCAGATACAGAGCGCATGGGCTTTGTCTTGCGCGTCGTCTCTGGCGGGTCCGCGCCGCGCTCGCCGGCGTGATCGTGCAGAAGTCGCCCGTCGCGGTGCTGGGGACAAAGCACCTGTTGCTGTATGCGCAGGACCACTCGTTAGTTGTGCAGCGCAACGCGATGGACTGTATTCATCTGACGCCGGTGTTGTCGCACAGGATACAGGAGAACCTGGACGATACCATCACGTGGAATAACGCTATGCTTCAGACGGCTGTAAGCGTCTCGCCCACTCGAAGATGGAAGTGTTGTCTGATCCATAGCATAGGACATGAAGGAGTCGATGCGAGCCGTGAAGACCAAGGAAAAGCTCCAGTATGCCAAGCTGCTGCCCAAGCTGTGATTGCGTGCAAAGTTCTGCACAGTGGGTTCTGTCGCTTCCGTGTATTGCTATGCAGACATTGTCGATGCGCACATATGTCACTTACTTCTTGCCTAGGGTAGTATCAGGGTGTGTCCGATCTTACGCGGTATGATAGAGGCGTGCAGACGCAACGGCAGGAGACGGCACCGGCACAGAACCTACCACCGAGCCATTGTATAGCGCGTAGACATCCACATCATGACTCGCCAAGAGCCAACTTATGTAGTTTAGGGAAGCCCTGCTTCGTCTCACAAAGGCACCTCCCTGCATGTGGATTCTCACAGGAAGGTCTGTCGCCTCTGGGATTCACATTGCTGTCAACGCATTTCACCTCTGTGCATGTTTGACAGGCCGCTGACGACAACGCCGCGCTACGACGATGACAGATTTGCTCTACCCTGAGGAAAGCATCAGTCAGTCCTTGATATGCGCTTCTCGGTCCTCGCTACGCTTCCCGGCGAAACCGTGCTTCAGGCTACTGCATCCTCTTTCTGTTGTCGGCCACACACTAACTACCATGATCAGATTGCAGCGATTAGTGTTCCAATCTCCACGCCACTTACCTCGCTACTCTCGGAGACGTTAATTCTACATACGCCATCCCGCACTACCTCCGTGGTGCAGAATGGATTGCGCTTGGACTCCGTAGCTCAAGAAGTAGGCCTCACGCGTTCCATGGTGATCAGCAGCACGCTCCTCTATCAGCGCTAATGATACATGCCGGGCCTTCTGCCACAGGACACAGTGCAGGTGGCACGGTATTCCACGCTCGGAAGCGTACCCCTATGCGCTTAGTCCCCGTTTAAAATCCGAAGACGATAACGCAACCGAATACGCACCTGTTACATGTCGCGCCATGGCTGAGCAATGCAACGATTCGGAATAGATGGTTGCCGCGATACAGATGATTGAACTATTTTCGGTCGTGATGGCGCAGGTGAGCTGCTAGCTCATCCATTTACCTCAGCTCGATCGAGGTACGCAGGTCTCCGTGGTTCCTAAATGTTGCGTGATGATGCAGGTGTTGCAATCACGAGCCTGATGGCTTCACCATAATGACAGCTCGCAGACTGACTTTTGGGGATGCAAATCGCGTATTGCGGACTCCGTCATGAGCGCACAAGCGAACCATACTCTAGGACACCGTACTCACGGCATGCACAGGACACAGCGGAGAACCTGAGACTCAAATGGAGTCATGACATCGCCGTCGTGTGCGAAAGAAACGCCCGTTGTGGCGTCTCGCTGAACCAAGTATTCTGTCACCTCAACTCGCCGGATATCAAGTATTCTGCTGCCTCAACTCTCCGGATCTCTCAATCCCGATACATGGGCTACTCCGACTAACATTCTGACCCGTTGGCATGACTCGCTACATCGTCAACTCGATCTGTCGCGATCCGCAACCGAGGCCCCCGCTGGGCTTCGATCTGTAACAGCGAAAGCACAGCTCGCATACACATTTACGTGATCTTTTCGTGACGTTTACCTGTCAGGTCAGCATAGAGTGCATTGTTCCCTATGCGTCTGGAGATAATTGACGATCGCTAGGAGCAGATAAGTCACGCACGAGTCAAGCGAATGATTAACGTCACCAAGTTCACAAATGTTCTCTTCCTATTTATAGAGTGACAATGAACAGTACGCGGCGTCTCATGTTTCCAATTTCCAAGAGCTCGTTATTATTGGTGTGGGGTATGATGGACGATTGCTCAACTGTATGAATGGTAGGCTACAATTCATACTGATTGAGCACATGCTTAATTTTCTTGGTTGAGATTCCCTAAATTCGCTGGGACTCCTGTAGTCTCAATTAAGCACAGATTGCGCGACATGGATCAGACTGCTTTGCAACATAGTCCAGCCGCAGAAGGCCATGCTCGAGACATATATATATAGACACAAATCTCGTAGCTGCCTCATTACCATCTTCCCTATCCACTTCCTATCCCATCTACGACAATCATTCAACAGACTATGTCAAGCCCGCTCTCGGAACAGCTCGTCGAGGACTTCCTTGAGTCGAAGTAAGTGAAAAACATCACATCCACCTTGTTCCATGAAACTTGACATTCGTGCCATGGGCTAGCTTTCAATCAAATTGCCTGGCTTATGCCGCTGCTGGTCAGCATCTCTGCTGTCCGTCCAATACCCTACTAATAATCGGCTTTCTAGCACTCCTAGCCTACTATGTCGTTTTGAACCTGCCATATGATGTACAATACCTGTGGAGGCGAAGATCGATTGCAACATTACTATCTGCCATGAATTGGCTTGGTATCGCTGGTAATCTCATAACATACATGCCTCTCGCAACCAATACTTCACCAGTATGAAGCACCCATTCTGTGAGGTGCGGTCATTGTATTGACGATGTACATTTCAGAGGTCGGTCCCTGCTATCAAGTTACCTATGTTTATGAAATATTGGTCCCACCAGATGTACGGCTTTCGGGTATGCCAACCAGATGCTTTACATTGTCACCGTTGCCATATCTCCGTGTAAGGAATGTCATTCTTGTCCCCAGAGCCATACTTATCCTGCCTTCGCAGTGGTAGCTGCTCTGCGCGTACATGCGGTGAGCGGACGCAACTGGTACCTGGTATTGCCGGTCTGGCTCCTCGGTATAGTGCCCGTGGGCGCCACTATAGTGGGTACATCGAATATGACAAGGCGCTTGCGATTGACCAGGAGCATCATAGTGGAGCGTGACACACGAGACCTTCCTTATATTCCCTCAACTGGGATGTGTGAGCAACGTTTCCTACTCCAATGCCACATATAGCACGTATGCAAATCTCACTGATTCTGTTGGGCTCTATGCACTGATTGAGTCTTTCAGGGGTTGAGTCATCTCTGTGCATGCTTCCAGGAGCCTTTACTGAACTTCCTACTCCCCATATAGTGGTGATCATCAGTCGAACATCCGTGATCGTCTCGGACATTCTTGTAGTTGGAGCGACCTGGTACTACATTAGCCACACGAGCTCTGTGAAAACACAGCTCGTGCGTGATGTGTGGGATGCAAAGCCCAATCTCACAACTGTCATGTTTCGAGATGGTGAGATCCAGCAGAAAGATGCAATCAATATACCACGGAGGCTCATGTTCCATGATTTACAGGTACATTGTACTTCCTGTAAGTGAGGAAGGATGGATCCTCGGACAAGAGCACTCATTACAGGTACAGCGTGATCTCGCTGCTCAACATCGTTGAACTCCTCGTGAACATAATCGGTTTCAATAGTGTGCGTATTCGTCAACGACCAACTAATTAGCCATACCGAAACAATCGTTCCAGAATCTAGGCACACTGGACATAACAAACCTGACCACAGCGTCTGTAAACCCTCATCCGCCATAATCCCGGTAGATACTCACACCGGAAACCTTTCATTGTATAGGATGTCGACCATCCTGACCTCCCGCTTCCTCATCTGCATCCGCGAAGCTGCAGAACGCTCAACACAGGCATTCAGCTCCCAGTCTCTGTCGTTCATCGATTCGCAAGGCGACTCTAACCCACGGCCATGGCTCTCTAGTGTGGAGTTCGCAGCCGACATCGCCAATCCGTCTGCAAGGGATAAAGGTCATGCGGACGCTTTCTCCGATCTCGAAGATGACTTGGATCCAAGAGGCCAAGATGACGCGAGCGAGGGGAGGGATGGCGGAATAGAACTGGAGGAGTACGCGGTCTCTGTCCGTTCTGTACACACACACACGCCCTGATGAAGTTCTTCAATATGGCTGTCCAATTTTCCGTTTCTTCTGACGTCGTTATTTATTTATTTGTCGTTCGTTTCGCCCAGTACGCTCACCGGTCTCGATGGTCAGGTACCCGCACTACTGCACACTGTGTATTTATTTGTATGCTTCGGATACAGATCGAAAAGTTGGTAGTGTTGGCTCTAGGTGCCTTTTACATCCGTACTATGGTGCAGTCGCCTTCACAATCTCGATCAAAGCACTGACGACATATCAGCCTTAGGACAAACAAACGGCACCGTCTCACTCACCGCGTAGGACAACCCGTCAGCCCCTTGTCTTGGTACGCATATCCTCGGGTTGTCTAAAATAATACCGTGTCAGCGGTTCAGGGACACACAATTGTGGCGCACATACCTCCATTGTCCCCGCGATATCGAGATGTGCCCACCGCACCACAGCCGTCGCGCCATCCTTACCAGGCTCGACACCGTCCACGAATGCCTTCAGGAAAAGCGCATCCGTGCAGCTTATCGCAGCCCTGCCGCCGATCTACAGAGGGCAGGACCAACATCAGTTCAACGCGCAGTCGTCCACTGACTGCTCTTAGCGCACGCACGTTGCATAGATCGGCGTTCGACGAGTGGATTTGCGGTCCGTACTCGTCGTCGAGCGGCATTCGCCAGAACCGGTCTTGTTCGCGCGCTCCGGCTCTTCCCAGCTTACGCCAGAGGCTATCTGAGTTCTGAAACGTCGGTCAGACGGGTGGCCGAGGTGTTGGAGCGGAGTCCACTGTGAATACGCCCGTGAATGCTTCGCCCAGTGCGACGCTCATCGCTCTGGAAGATCGCCTCAATGAGCACATCCGTCGATAGCATCAATCAATCCTGAGTAATATACTCCGTCAGCGTGGCGACGTCCACGATTGTGGCTTGAACATCGTTGACCCGTAGTACAGTGCATCTGCGTCAAATCAGCACGTCAGCCGCCGCCTCTCCTTTTGCAGCTCGCGATCCGCGATCCGCACCCGCGAGCACAAGCCGCGCCCCGGCGTTCGTGTTGTCGACTGACTTGCCGTTCATCGCATAGACACTGTCGAGCGTCGTCGACTCAGTAAGCGGCGTGCCTTTAGTAGTCAATTTCGGCTCAAATGCCCCCGGGCTTGTTCGCGCTCGACCCGGGCATCTTCTCGCAGAGTGACGTCAGCACTTTGAGGTTGATTCTGCCAGAGCGGAGAAATACGCGGCTCCGTCAACACAGGTTAGTGAGGGAGCTCATTGGACCTACAGTCCGAGCTGTGCGACGGCGAGCGCAGCGGAGCAGACCGCTGCGGCTCTGCCTGGCAGGCGAGGGAGTTTAGTCAGTGTTAGCCGAGTAGACGGTAGGACACACGGGCACGTACCCATGTCGCCACGCGTCAGCTTCATCCATGCCGAAGGCATGAGCGAGATCCTACCCGTGTCGAAGGTGACACCCTTCCTGACGAGGGCTGTGCATCGCTGGGTCCGCCGTTGTAGTGGCTACAGCACAGAGGACGGGATGAGCGGTGCTTAGCAACAATGACTTTGACGCTCGAAAAACGTACATCTCGAGGAGCTTGGCCGGCTCAGAGGTGCCCTTCGTCACGGAGAGAAAGGCATTCTAGAATATAGATGACATGGCGGCTGAGAAGACACAGCGGGCGAGGACACGTTAGCTACGCACCATGCCTTTCTTTGCTGCACAATTTGTGATTGGGTCAAGCGGCGTTTGTCAGTCTAGTGTTCAGGAAGTGTGTACAATCGAGACCGCGAGATTGGCAAGGAGGTACCTTCGTCCCGGACGATGATCTCGACAATCGGTACACCAGAAAGCTCCCTCTCTATCCGCTCTACAAAGGCCTGGTATTCAACCTCTCCAGCTAGTTAGCTACATGGTTTGCTCTTCTTAGTCTCGGAAGTTCACAGACCGAATGTGTCATCATGTTGCCGGGCACTTCTGCCAACTATGTCATGGGCTTCTATGACAATACGACTTTTTCATGATGCTAGAATAATAGGACGTACTGTCCGTGCCAGGTTCTGCGCTCGCGCATATACAGCCCCGGTCTTCCAGCCTTCATGTTCAGTAAGAGGCTGGAATGAGAGCTTATCCGGAATCCCTTCTTTCAAATTCGGATGAAACGGTGACGGTGGCTTCGTCTACAGCGTAAATTCGAATTGTACAAGGTGAGTCGCAACAGCGAAGCCATAGTGTAAGCTGCACACAACACAGACAGCAAGTCCAGCACGTCTCACACGTAACATGTGGGTCCACCGAAGCGTCGACGAAGACGGTCTGTCCGTGCACGCCCTAACCAAGCCCGCGCACCTGCTTCACAGCAGTCCAAACCGCTTGTCTGACGACCTTCCGCCTTTCGTCCTCTGCCTTCTCCGCGAACTTGTCGCCAAGAGATGTCAGCGCCGTCACATTGTGCGCACCGTTTTCGCTCGGCGTAACGTAGAAGACGTGCGTCGTGCCTGTTTTCGGGGGTTTCGGAGCAGCAGCCGCAGGTATTTCGGACCACAGCGACTCCGCATCTACCCTGACGGTAGTGTGCCTGGGAGGGGCCCTGGGGTCTACGGGAAGGACGTAAATGGCGGAGCGGGAAGGGGCGACGCTGAAACAGCATACAAGGTGCGTCGTGCGTCCATAGCGGCGGCGGGCGGGTGAGCCGGACGGGTGAGCACAGCGTAGTATACTTTCGGGCTCTCGGACGGTGCGCACTGTACACGGGCGACGAGCGCTTACCCACGCTCAGTGATCGGAGACGCGTCCCGTAACGCGCCTGTCACGCTCACGTTGCGCGCAACCCGACGCGGCGCGACAGGCGCACAGCAAATTCGGCAGACTAATTCGGGTCGGTATCCAATTCCGGTAGTGTCTCGACCACTTCGTACCCAGGTCTTCAGGCAATAATGGACGCCAAATCTACCTGCATATCTCAAATTGTCTAATACGCCGTTCGCACGGTCTGCTATGCTTTGCTCTAGACTAAGCACTAGTACTTCACCATGACTTTGTCTCGGAGTCCAGAAGTGTTATCAGAGATCAGGTTTCGAGTCTATTGAATATGAGCAAAGATGAAGAGCAGGACCCTGTCTATCTGAACAGCATGTACAGCAACGGTGACCCTCATAGAGGAGCAAGAGGCTCCAGGATGCATTCGAACTTGATTCGATTGTTTCCCCGGTCCCGCGGTGCATTGCATCTGCCATCGAAAAGGGTAACGTTCTCCACGCTCTGTTCATCGTCGTTTCCCTTCAGAGCGACCGGCCGGTCTCTGAACATTCAAGTTGTCCTGCAGACATACCTCTTTGCGCCTGCAAGCGGCTTTCAGCGACCAGCTCAGATTTCGAGCAAATAAATACAAGCTTCGTACAGGGACTGTAGGATACAGTGGATAAAAGCTGACTGGGAATAAATAAGCGACGCGCAACGATGTAGGTACCTGATCATCGAGACCGGTGAATGTACTGGGGTGTGAAATGAGTGACAATCAACTAATGAACCCAGGAGAAATGGAAAATAGACAGCAAAACCGAGGAACCTCAGGCCTTGTGTGCGTCCACAGAACGGACAGAGACCGCGTACTCCTCTAGTTCTATTCCGTCATCTCTCCCCTCGCTCGCATCATCTTGGCCTCTTGGATCCAAGTCATCTTCGAGATCGGGGAAAGCGTCCGCATGGCTGTCATCCCCTGCAGCGGGATTGGCGATGTCGGCGATGAACTCTGCACTGGAGAGCCATGGCTGTGGATTAGAGTCGCCTTGCGAATGGATGAACGACAGAGACTGGGAGCTGAATGCCTGTGTTGAGCGTTCTGCAGCTTCGCGGATGCAAATGAGGAATCGGGAGATCAAGATGCTCGACATCCTATAATACGAAAGGGTTAAGATGTGAGTATCTACACAAACTATGTCACATGGGAGTTTACAGACGCTGTGGTCAAGTAAATTATATTCTCCGCGCCTGGCATAAACTAGAACGGCTGTTTCAGTATGGCTGATCAGTTGGTCGTTGACGAATACGCACACCACTGAGAGTAACTGTGTTCATGATGAGGTCAAGAATGTTGAGCAGCGAGATCACCCTGCACCTATAATGAGTGCTCATCCAAGGATCAATACTTCCTCACTTACAGGAAGTACAATGTACCTGTAATCACGGAATGTGAGCAACTGTGATATATTAATCTTATCTTTCAGCCGGAGCTCACCATCTCGGAACATGACAGTTGTGAGATTAGGCCTCGCTTCCCACACTTCACGCACGAGTTGTGTCTTCACAGAGCTCGTGTGGCTAATGTAATACCAGGTCGCCCCAACTACAAGAATATCCGAGACAACCACGGATGTTCGAGTGATGATAACCACTATATGGGGGAGTAGGAACTTTAATAAATGTTTCTTGAAACATGCACCAAGATGACTCACTCCTGCAACACTCAATCAATGCGCGGAACCTCACAGAGTAAAACAAAATCGACCCACATATTAGATATGGCCTCGGAGAAGGGAGCGATGCCTGAACATCCAAAAAAAGGAGATATAAGGAAGATCTCTTGGGTCGCGCTCCACTATAATACTTCTGGTTTGATCACAAGCATCTTGTAATACTCGATGTACTCACTATATTGGTGCCCACGGGAACCATACCGAGGAGCCAGACTGACAATACTAGGTGCCAGTTACGTCCGCTCACGGCATGTACACGCAGAGAAGCTACCACTGAGGAGGCAGGATAAGTATGCCTATAAGGATAAGAATAACATTCCTTACACGGCGGTATGGCAGTGGTGACAATGAAAAGCGCCTGATTGGCATATGCGGAAGACTGACATCTGGTGGGAACAACGTTTCATACACAAAGATAACCTTAGACTACGGAGGAACCAACCTCTAAAATATACATCGTCAATACAATGTCAGCGTCTCACAGAATGGGTGCTTCATACTTGTGTAGTATTGGTTGGGTATGGTATCGACGTTATAATCTTACCAGCAATAGCAAGCCAGTTCATAACAGAGAGCAGTGTTGCAATAGATCTTCGCCCCCACAGGCGCCGTATATCATGCGGCAGGTTCAAAGCGACATAATAGACCAGGAGTGCTGGAAGGTCGATTATTAGTAGAGTATTGGACAAACAACAGAGATGCTGACCAGTAGAGGCACAAGTCAAACAATTCGCTAGAAAGCTAGTTAATAGCACGAATGTAAGTCTCATGGAATAAGTTGGATGTGATGTTTTCACTTGCATCAAATTCAAGAACTCCTCAATGGATCGTTCTGCTCCTGACATAGTCTGTCAAATGATTGCCGTGGATAGGATAGGATGTGGATGGAAAATGGTAATGAGACAGCTACGAGATCTGAGTCCTTATATATGTCCCGAGCATGGACTCTGCTGCTGAATTACGATGCATAGCAGTGTAACCCATGCCGCACAACCTGTGCTCAACTGAGAATAACGGACCATCAGCGTATTCAGGGCTCTCAATTAGGATCAAGCATGTGGACAATGTACTTAATCAGAGTTTGTAGCCTACCAGCCGCACCACTGAGCAATCATTCCTGAAAAAGGAGAAACTGAGGTGAGGCGTACTGCTCACCACTCCATAGGTGGAGAGAACGTTTCCGAGAATAGTGACGTTTATCGCGGACGCGTCCAATCGTTTGCTGGTGCGTCTGTATCGTTCAGGGATTAGCTGTTCTTAATAATCGACGTTGATATCCAGGTACATTTTCTGTAGAAAAAAAAGCAGTCTATTCTTACCTGACATGCAGACATCACGCAGATACCCGCAAACATCACGCAAACGTTTATATCAGTTATGCTTGACTTTAGCAGATCGAAGCCCAGAGGCCTCTATTGCGAATCGCGACAGATTCAGTTGATGTTGACGACGTCGCAACTACGCCTCGAACGCGTCGGCGTCGAGCTACGAGCGTCATCTGGCTGCGTAGTACGTCAAGCTAATGGGTCAGAATGTCAGTGGGAATAGTCCACGTATCGAGACTGAGAAATTCGGAAGTTGAGGTCGCAGGATAATTGAGGTCTGGCGAGATAAGGTAACAAAATACTTGAGATTCGGTGAGAAGCCACAACGGGCGTCTCTTTGGCTGAAGACCGCGGTTTCTATTCGGCTCCCAGATTCTCCGCTGTGTTCTGTCCATGCATTGGGCCCTCAGGACCTATATTCCGCCTGCAAACTCACCACAAAGTCCTCATACGCGACTTGCATCCCCAACAGCCAGTCTGCGCTGTCGTTCTCGTAAAGCCATAAGGCTCGTGAGTGCAACGCCTGTACCGTCACACAACATCTGGTATCTGCATAGTTAGATTGAGCCGAAATAAGTGGACGAGCCAGCAGCTTACCCGTCCTATTCGCGACCTAAAAGTTGTTTGATAATTTGTTCACGGCAACCATCCGTCTCGAATGGTTGCATGCTCAGTCATGACGCGACGTGTGACAGATGCGTATTTGGCTGTGTTGGCGTCTTCGATTCATAAATGGGGACGAAGCGCATAGAAGTACGCTTACGCTTCTGAGCGGGGAATACCTTGGCACCCCGCACTGTCTCCTGTGGCTGAAGACCCGGCATGTATCAATGGCACTAGCACTGAGAGAAGAGCGTGATACTGGTCATCAAAGGGCGGGCAAGGTCGACTTTTTTGACTACGAAGCCCTAGCGCAATCCGTTCCGCATCACCGAGGTAGTGGGGGTGGCGTATGTGGAATCTCCGAGGAGCGAGGTAAGTGGCGTCAATGTAACACTTGTCGCCGCGATCTGATCACGGTATTTGGTGTGCGAGCGACAACGTGAAGAGGATGCAGTAGCCTAAAACAGGGTGTCGCTGGGCAGCGTAGCGAGAACCGAAAAGCGAATATCAGGGGCTGACTGGTGGCTTACTCGGGGTAGAGCGGATCTGTCATTGTCGTGGCGCGGCGTTGTCCCGGAAACGATGCGATGCATCGGCGACCTGTCCATAATGCGCAGAGGTGAGATGCGTCGACAGCAATTTGAATACCAGAGACGACAGACCTCCCCTGTGAGAACCCATGTGCAGTGTGGTACCTGGTGAGACGAAGCAGGGCATCTCCACAGCACATAAGCTAATTCTCAAGGCAAATGAGAGTTTGGGGGTTATGATATGGATGTCTACACGTTATGCTGTAGCACGATGAAGTCACTGCAATGACTCGGTGTCTGGAGCATAGCGCTATCCCATGTGACGGTGTAATCCAAGTTCTCCTGTACCCTGTGCGACAACGCCAGTGTCAGATGAATGCAGTCTCTTGCGTTGTGCTGTACAACTAACGAGTGGTCCCGCGCATGCACCAACAGGTGCGTCTTCAACCCGAATTTGCCTACCGGATCCGCTATGGGCCTGTCGCGTGTCGCGTCGCGTTGCGCGCAACGTGAGTGTGACAGGCGCGTTACGGGACGCGTCTCCGATCGCTGAGCGTGGGCGCCGCGCTGGTCGCTCGCTCATGTACAGTGCGCACCGTCCGAGAGCCCGGAAGTATACTACGTTCTGCTCACCCGTCTGTCGTCGCTATGCACGCACGACGCACATTGTATGCTGTGTGACAGCATGCACGCTGTTTCAGCGTCGCCCCTCCCCGCTCCGCCGTTTACGTCTTCCATGTAGACCCCAGGGCACATCCCAGGCACACTAGCGTCGGGGTAGATGCGGAGTCGCTATGGTCCACAACACCCGCGGCTGCTGCTTCGAAGCCCGCCAAAGCATGCACGACGCACGTTTCCTACGATACGCCGAGCGAAAAGGGTGCGCGGAATGTGACGGCGCTGACGTCCCTTGGCGACAAATTCGCGGAGAAGGCGGAGAAAGAGAGGCGAGAGGTGGTGAGGAAAGCGGTCGGGAGTGCTGTGAAGCAGGTGCGCGCGCTTGGCGAGGGCGTCCACGGACAGACCGTCTTCGTTGATGCGTCGGCGGACCCACGTGCTGCTGGTGAGCCGTGCCTGGACCTGTTCATGCGCGAGCGCAGAACCTGACGGACAGTACGTTATGCCGTAGTAGCATCTTGGATAGTCGCATATTGATAGCAGGCCTATCACATAGTTAGCAGAATTTCCCGGCGACATGACGACACCCACTGTCTGTAAATCGACAGCGTCTATGCGATGAACGGCAAGTCAGTCGAGATCGAAAATACGAACGCTGAGGGTCGGCTAGTGCTCGCGGGTGTGGACTGCGGATCGCGAACTACAAAAGGAGGGGTGGTTGCTGACGTGTTCATCTGACGTAGATGCGCTGTACTACGGGTCGACGACGTTCAAGCTGCACACGACCGTGGACGTCGCAACACTGACAGGGTATACTCGAGATTTATTGATGCTATTGGCGGATGTGCTGATTGGGGTGTCCTTCCAGAGCGATGAGCGTCGCACTGGGCGAAGCGTTCACCAGCGTATTCACATTAGGTTCTTCGCCGTAACACCTCGGGCACCTGACTGACCGACCTTTCGAAATTCGAACAGACTCTGGCAAGAGCTGGACAGAGCCGGAGCGCGTGAACACGACCGGTTCTGGCGGATGCCCCTCGACGAGTACGGACCGCAAGTCCACTCGTCGAACGCTGATCTAAGCAACGTACGTGCGCTAATAGCAGTCAGCGGACGGCCGCGCGCTGGCCTGCTGTTTGTCCTGCCCTCTGTAGATCGGCGGTAGGGCTGTGGGCAGCTGCACGGTTGCGCCTTTTCGTGGATGGCGTCGAGCCTGGTAAGGACGGCGCGACGGCTGGGGTGCGATGGGCACATCTCGATATCGCATGGACAATGGAGGTATGTGCTCCGCATTTGTATGTCCCTGAACCGCTGACATGGTATTCTTCAAGACAACCCGAGGATACGCATAGCAAGACAAGGGGCTGACGGGCCGCCCTACATGGTGAGTGAGACGGCGCAGCTTGTTTGCTCTGAGGCTCATATGTCGGCAGTGCTTTGATCGCATTTGTCAAGGCAGCTGCGTCATAGTACGGATGTAAAGGCACCTAGCACCAATACTACTAACCTCCCGACCTATACTGGAAGTATGGAAATGAATAAACAGCGCGCAATAGTACAGGTATCTGATCATCGAGACCGGTGGACGTACTAGGGGGGGGGACGAGCGACAAACACATAATGAAGTGAGAAGAAATGGAGAGTGGACAGCAAGACTGGGGAACTTCAGGACGTGTGTGCCTCTACAGAACGGACAGAGACCGCGTACGCGTACTCCTCTAGTTCTATTTCGCCATCTCTTCCCTCGCCCGCATCATCTTCGAGATCGGAGAAAGTGTACACACGACTATTGTCCCCTGCAGAGCGGTTGGCGATGTCGGCAGCGAACTCTATGCTGGAGAGCCGTGGTTGTGGGTTGGAGTCGCCTTGCGTATCGATGAACGATAGAGACTGAGAACTGAATGGCTGTGTTGAGCGTTCTGCAGCTTCGCGGATGCAGATGAGGAAGCGGGATATCAAGATGCTCGACATCCTATAGAATGAAAGGTTTATGGTGTGAGTATCTACTGGCACTATGGCGGGTGAGGTTCTACAGACGCCGTGACCAAGTCTGTTATATTCAGTATGCCTGTAATCTAGTAAAACTGTTTCAGTATGGGTAATGAGTTGGTCGTTGACAAATACGCACAGTATTGACGCCAATTATGTTCACGAAAAGGTCAACAATATTGAGCAGTGAGATTACACTGTACCTATAATGAGTGCTTGTCCGAGGATCCATACTTCTCCACTTACAGGAAGTATAATGTACCTGTAATCACGGAATGTGAGCCACCGTGGTATATTGATTGCATCTTTCAGCTGGAACTCACCATCTCGGAACATGACAGTTGTGAGATCGGGCCTTGCGTCCCACACATCATGCATCAGCTGTGTTCTCACAGAGCTCATGTTGCTGATGTAATACCAGGTTGCTGCAACTACAAGAATGTCCGAGACAACCACGGATGCTCGCGTGATGATAACCACTATATGGGCAAATAGGAACCTCTATAAGGGCTTCTGGAAGCATACACGGAGACGACTCACTCCTGCAAAGCTCAATTAGTGCGTAGAACCCGCCAGAGTCAGTAAGATCTACATACGCGTTACTTATGGCATCTGAGTAGGTAATGCTGCTCACACATCCAAGTGGAGGAAATGTAAGGACGGTCGTTTGGGTTAGGTTCCACTATAATGCTCCTGGTTTAGTCACAAGCACCTTGTCACACTCAATGTACCGACTATATTGGTGCCCACGGGCACCATACCGAGGAGCCAGACCGGAAATACCAGACGCCAGTTGCGTCCGCTCACAGCATGTACACGCAGAGCAGCTACCACTGAGAAGGCAGGATAAGTATGGCTCTGGGGACAAGAATGACATTCCTTACTCGGCAATATGGCAATGGTGACAATATATACAGCCTCAAAGCCATATACCCAAGACTCACATCTGGTGGGACCAATGTTGCATAAACAAAGGTAACCTGATAGCGAGGAACCGACCTCTGAAATGCGGATCGTCAATACAATGTCAGCGCCTCACGAATTGAGTGCTTCATACTGGTGTAGTATTGATTGGGAGAGGCATCATCGTTATAATATTACCAGCAATAGCAAGCCAGTTCATGAAGGATAATAGTGTTGCAGGTGATCTTCGCCCCCACAGGCGTCGTACATCATGTGGCAAGTTTAAAGTGGCATCATAGACCAGAAGTGCTGGAAGGCCAGTTATGAGTAGAGTATCGGACAGACAACAGAGGCGCTAACCAGCAGAGGCATACTGCAAGCAAAATTCTTGAAAGCTAGCCCATTGCACGGAGGTTAGGTTTCATGAGATCAGGTGGATGTGATGTTTTTGACTTGCTTCAATTCAAGGAAGCCCTCGATGAACTGTTCCGACAGTGGGCTTGACATAGTCTAGTCAATGTATGTCGTGAATGGGACGGTTAGTGAAATATGAAAAGGTGTATATAAGGCAGCTACGAGATATGAGTCCATATATATGTCTCGAGCATGGACTTCTGCGGGTCAATTGAGTTGCACAGCAGTGTAATCCATGTGGCACAACATGGGCTCAACTGAAAATCCAGGAGCAGGGGGGTCTGCAATGAGAGGATCAAGCATGAGAACAATATTCATTTCATTCACATGGCGGAGCAATCTTCCGTCATACCACATACCGAGACAATGACGAGTTCCTGGAAACTGCAGAACTGAGATGATGCGTACTGACCATCACTCCTTAGATAGAGAGATTGGTGACGTTCACCGCGGACACGTTCAATCATTTGCTTGTATTGTTCACTATTTTATATGCTCACAACGCTCGTCATCTATCTTTAGCTTCAAGAAGCAATCTATATGCTTGTGAATTATGCTTTTGCTATTGCAGCCCGAGGTCCAGATGCCTCGGTTGCGGATCGCGACAGACTGACTGGACGTTGACGACATAGTACGTCAAGCCAACGGGTCAGAATGTTGGTGGGAGTGGTTCATGTATCAAGACGGAGAGATCCGGGAAGTTGAGGTAGCAGGATAGTTGAGATCTAGCGGGATGAGGTAACACAAAACCTGAGATTCTGCGAGACGCCACAACGGGCGTCTTCTTCGCCCACGACAGCGATCTCATGACTCCATTCGAGTCTCAGATTCTCTGCTGTGTTCTGTGCATGTCTCGAGTACAACGACTTAGAATGTGATCCGCTTGCGCACCCCACGACTAAGTCCTCCAGACGCAATTCGCACGCTCAAAAGTCAATCAGCGCCTTGTTCTCATGAAACCACAATGCTCGGGATTGCAATGTGGAATACCGTACATCCTCGCACTGTGTCCTGTGGCAGAAGACCCAGCATGTATCACTAGCACTTCATAAAAGCACGACGTGGTACTGATCATCATGAAGCGTGCGAGGCCGACTACGCAGTTTAGGCGCAGGTGCGGATACGATGAGTCTGGGTATGAGACAGAGCGCAACGAATTTTGCATCACGGAGGTAATGCGGGATGGTGTAAGTGTAATTAATCTCTCCGAGGAGCGAGGTAAGTGGCGCCAATGAAACACCGGTCGCTGCGGTCTGATCCTGGTAGTTAGTGTGCGACCGACGACGGAAAGAGGCTGCAATAGCCTGAAGCACGGTGTCGCCGGGCAGTGTGGCAAGGACTGAAAAGCGCATATCAGGGACTGACTGATGGCATACTCGGGGTAGAGTAGATCTGTCATCGTCGTGGCGCGGCGTTGTCCCGGAAACGATGCGGTGCGTCAGCGGCCTGTCAAATATGCTCATGGAGATGAAATGCATTTACAGCAATCTGAATCCTAGAGACGACAGACCTCGCTGTGAGAGCCCATGTGCAGGATGATACCTGGTGAGAAGGGCCTCTCCAAAACACACAAGCTAACTCTCAAGGCAAGGGAGAGAATTGCACCTCTCGACCTGGACACATTATGATGGTGCCTGGCGCTCACCTGAGCTCGTGCGTGCCCAGTTGGCCGGTTGTGATATGAATGCCCACACGCTATACAATGGCACGATGACGTCACTGCAAAGACTCGGTGGTAGGTTCTGTGCTGGTGCCGTCTCCTGCCGTAGCGTTTGCCCTACGGACGCCCCGAAGTATAACCTGCACGCAAGGGGAAGTCCGTCATTATTGAAATTGCTGGAATTCGTCGTGTTCTTTACGAGTACATCACCAGTCTGACGAAAAATCCTTACAAAGACCATTTTCTTTTGATGCCAATGAAGCGCGTTGTGCCTAGCACCCGATGCCGTCGCGCATCTCTGCGCGGGCTCGCCTTCGCGCGATGTTGATGTGATTCGCACGTTCATATGCTACAAAGGCTCAGCTGCAGAGATGTACAAGACTGATCGACAGGGCGAGGGCGAGTCAGACGCGGGACTCTGAGGGTAGGAGTAATCGTACCGTTGTTGCCTCGGATGAACGCGTCGCCGTAGCGGTTGGTGACGGCGCCGTTGACATGTTCCTCGGTCTGCTCGAGGGCGATGTTCATGTAGCCATCAAGACACGACAGCACTCCTATGTGAGCCAGGACGCGCCGTTCGCGGTCAGCTGGCTTTTGTGATGTACGATGGGTGCCCACCTCGATAGTCCACCCCGGACGTGAGCCGTACGACGACGCGCTTGCCCACCACGCCCTTCAAGAAGTCGGTCGGCGAGCCGGTGGTCGTCGGCAGTGGAGGCGGGGGGTGGGGGCGGCTCGAGGTCGGCCGGCGGGGCATGCGGCGGTGGTGGGGTAGAGTGGTCCATTTGAGCGGGACGGCGGCAAGCGCGTGCGTCGGTGCTGCGGCGAGAGCGTGGGAAAGCACTCACGGCCGGCGCTCGGCAAGCCGGAGCGCGCGAGAGGGCGGCTGCACGACAGGACTGCGCTATATTTGACGGCGTGCGGGTGGATCGACGTGAGTGACGTCGTGGGCGCGTTCGCCGAAGCCACACTCGGGCCCTCTGCGCGCGTCTCCTCACTGCCATACGGCCGATACCCAGACATGCAAAATAACGAGGGAGCCTCCTCCCGCACGCCAAAGTGAGTCCCCGCCATGCCCCCCAACCCTTCCTCCTCCACCGTGAATGTGTATCCTGAGGTCCTCGACATCAGCTGGCGCACGAATCTCCGTTACGACCCCCGCCTCGGCGACGAGGACGGCGACGAGGCGCATACACCCGACCAAGGCGCCACCCTACGCCACGTCCGCATAGAAACCCCTTCGCAACGCGCCAGCCCCGTCGACTCTGGCCTTGGCAGCAGAGAAAAACCATCTGCAGCTAGCGATCGCCACCGACAGGGCCCTGGCCGAGCAAGTCGGTCATGGACGTTCATCGTCAAGCACTTCCCGCTCGATCTCGCGTGGATCCCGAACAACTGGTCGTGGTCCAAGATCAAGCCCATCATCCGTGCCTGGGTTCAGGGCTGGATCTCGGTGATCTTCATGGTCATTCCGAGAGTGGAGAGTGTCTTGGGGCAGGTACGTTTTCCATCCGTTTGATAAGCATCGAGTTGTGGGCGCCGGTTGGACAGTGGCCGGTGCCAAGACTTTGACGTGCTAGTGCGTCTCCAATGGTGTTATGCTCCATTACTTACCGGTTATTACGTCGTCTGCCCTGTTGCCGGATGTGGGCGCGGCCGAGCATACTGAGCCCTAAATAGTGATACTTCTCGAGTTCAGATTTCACCGTTTTATTGACTCAAGCCCTCTCGAGACATCTCACGTCTCTGTTGGTCTCCAGCTGCAGAGGCTTCATGAGACGCATACACCTATGCGCAAACATTCCGTCGTACATACAATGCTCCATTCTAGCGATCCTCGTGGGTTGGAAGATTTTATGCACTTGGGCAGCCAGCATGTTGGCCGGCTTGTGCTGTTTCTTCAGCGCAGCACCGCTACCTCAGTGTGCTCGGTTTCTGAGCATACATGAGGCTGGAACATATCCACATTCTTAGGCAGCCGGTGCCCCTCCAGGCTTCTACCGGCCAGTGCTGGCAGTAGGAAATGCATAGCAAACATGACCACAACACTTATATTGATTTTGATGTCGGATATAAGGAGAACGTACAGACACTGACGTCGTCTCACAGGCCACATTCCTTATTCTCGTAGGTTCGTCGTATGTTGACGTTCTTCAACCATTCCCGATTATACTTACCGCGTTGCACAGCTGCATTACTTGATCCTCCCAGTGATCCGTTCGTATCCGTCCTCGAACGAGAAATAATCTTCGCTATCTTCGTGTCCATCGGCTGGGCGTGGAGCTGCCTCGGCATCTTCCTCGCCAATCTGGCTCGTACCAACACCGACTACAATGCCACGCTTACTGACGTCCTCACCGGCCAATACGTTGAAGCTGCGCCGACCATCATCATGGCCGTCTTCATCTTCATCGGCGCTGCATGCTTTCTGTTCATCAAGGCGAAGCGGGGGCCTGGTCCATTCGTCTTCCCGTCTGTCTTCGGCGCGATCACGGTCGACATCTCGCTCATCACCGCCGTTCTCTTTCCCTATCCCTACTACATCATCGGACGCGCCATCGTGCTCCCGCTTGTGTTCCACGCAGCACTCTGTATTTTATCTGCAGCATTAATTTTCCCTTCCACGATCACAGCACAATATGCCGGCGCGCTGTCCCGCCTCTTCGACCCACTTGAACGTGCGCTGCTGGAGCATCGTGCTACCCTCAAATTGAGCCCCGGCGGGCCCGAATTCGCCAAGGGCGTCTCCAAGATCAACGGCTTCGTAAACGGCGCGGAGGCCGGCCTCGGGCACGCGGCGGCGGCGCTGCGCCTCGTCAAGCACGACATCGTATGGGGCCGGTTCGCGCCGACGGACGTCGGCAACTTGCAGTGGCACGCGCGGCGGCTTGTCACGCGCGCGAACGGGATGGGCATCTTCTTCACGCTGATCGATCCGACGCGCGAGCGGTTCCCCGTCACGCCGATCCCGTCGCGCACGGCAACACCTGTGGGCTCGCGCCCGATCACGCCTGTGACGTCGCGGCCGGGGACGCCATTCGGCTCGCGTCCGACGAGTCCTGCGGTCTCGCCGTCGGTGTCGCGCATGGAGCCTGCGGCGTGGAGCCCGATGGCGTCGCGCCCGCCGTCGCCGAGCGGGATGCGGCAGCGGAACGGGCAGCCGCGGAACTCACACCACAGCATGTCGTCGCTGCGGCTGACGATCTCGCGGCACCTGAACTTCCGGCTGCGGCGGCACGAGGAGGAGAGCCAGCATGAGCGGCTGCACTTCTCGCTGCTGCACCTGGCGCACACGCTGTCGCTGCCGCACGCGGAGAGCGCGGTGGCGGTGTTCGAGTCGCAGCGGTACCTGGCGCTGGAGGCGACGCGGCTGTCGCACCCGGACTCGCCGAGCGAGACGGAGCGGTTCGTGGCGCTGCTGAACGAGAGCTGCGACGAGATGCTGGGCACGTGCGCGGACGTGGTGCGGGGCGTGAAGGGCTGGATTTCGCGCGTGCGGCAGGGCAGCTTTGCGGGCAAGTCGAGCATCGAGCGCGATCGCGCGGAGCATCTTGCGGAGCTGGCGACGATGAAGGAGAAGCTTTCTCAAGCGCTTGAGAGTTTCAGGAAGGACGATAGGTGGGTAACGCGAGCACATGATCTGGGACGGCTGCTCACATTGATGTAATGCCAGACACCGAGTGCTTGACCCCTATCGGTCTGCGTTCGATCCCAGCCACGTTGGCTCGCCCGAGGGAAATATAGAGCCTCCTCCACACAGATATCTCTTCCACTGTTATGTCTATCAATATCATCTGATGCAATTCGCGTTTCTCCTCGTCGACATTGTGAGTTCATCCATAACGTTTAAATAGCACCTGTCACTTAGACACTTTAACTTCCTTTTCAGCTCGAGACGATCACAAGCATGGAAGAGAACAATAAGAAGTCAAGACTCTGGACACCTCAGCTACCCATTCGCAAGGCCTTGGACTGGGGACGCTACGACGCCGCCGCCGACTTAGAGCGCGACGACGATGAGGATCCCGGTTAGTTCACTACTCATCGACCAGAGATCCATAGCCTGACGCTTTCCTACAGACGTCATTCCTGGCATACAGGCTGAATGGGAGGAAGACCTCGGGATGGCATCGCGACGCAACCCAGACGCCCTTCCCCCTCGTAATCTCTTTGAGAAGGTGATGGCTTCTGTGCATGATTTGTTGGCAGCCCTGTCGGGTGGAAATGCACTCTTCGCCCTCAAGGCTGGGACCTTGACCAGTTGAGCCCCCTCTCGTCGTAGTTCCTGAACTGTATTAATGCCGTCGCCTTGGCAGTTATTCTGTGCATCCCGAGCTTCCTCAAGAGCTCGTCGCATTTTGCGTACAGTACGTTTGTTTTTCTCGTTGCAAGGTTTGGCATGGCTGATACAACCCTCAGCCGAGCGATTCGTGTGGGGAGTGTAAGTGGGCGGAACGCCCAAGCTGAGTATATGCGCTGACAAAGGACGTTTTTAGCTTCATGGGACAGCTCACTCTCGCGCGATTCCGCGGTGACACGACGTTCGCCCTCGTAGCTCGTCTGATCAGTACATTCTTGGGTGGCGTGCTTGGAATGTTGCTTTGGTGCGTGCTCAGAGTCGTGCAATACCAACGGGTTCTGACCGTTGAGTCATCGTGCAGGTATATCTCTGCAGGCAGAGGTAATGGTAACGCGTATGGTTTCGCTGCAACACTGGGTGTATGCCTGCCATTCTTTTATTATGGACGTTTGTACTGGCCTGGGCCTCCGATGACCAACATCATCTTCTTCGTTACTACTGCGTTGGTAAGTACAGACTACGTCATGACGTCAGTATCGCTCATGTTAGCCCTCCTCCTGCACAGGTGCTCGGGTTCTCATGGCAGAACACACACTTCCCTGTAATCTTTCACTTCTATGGGTTCTCCCTAGCATGGGTGAGTACTCAATCATACCGGAGTTTACACGACTTAGACTGACGCTATGACCACTCGCTAGAGGAGATTCGTCCTGGTAACGGCTGGTGTTACAGCTGCATTGTGAGTGGTCCCATTCACTCCTCATGCGGAGACTCATCTCTGTGTACCAGCATTTTCTCCTTCCTTCCGCCGTCTACCACGCTACGCCGCTACCAGCGCGCGATGCTCTCGACTACAAGCGCCGAACTCGGAGCTGTCTACTGCTCTATCGTTTCCTTCGCTAATACGCGTGGGCGCCACGAAGTTGATCGCGGCGAGATCATCCAGACGCTTGTGGCTATTCGCATGAAGCTGAAGAGATCGGTAGTTCTGAAGACCAACATCATCTACGAGGTGAGTCGTGCAAGATCCTAGAGTATGAATCGTGCATTGATCTTCCTAAAGTTCTCAATGCGTGGACAATGGCCAGCGGAGAGGTACCAGAGGATTTTGGAGCTGCAGATGTGAGCCTCATTCTGAGTAGCGTTGGTGGATACTCATGCTCTTCGCAGGCAAGTTGCATTCCTGCTATCCCACTTGATGTCTGTGGTGGAGCATCTCGATCCAGCGTGGACTCGTGCCTTCCTGCGGCGTACCCGGTTCCTCGACGCGGATTTTCAGGGAGACGTACTAGCAGTCATCAGTATGTTATCTTAGCTGTCCTTGAACTAATCGAATGATAGCTCACACTATGTTTATCTAGGTATGATCTCGACGGCGCTACGAACGGGAAACCCTTTGCCGCAGATCACCCCGTGCCCCCTCTTGGATCGGTTCATGGTGTACACCCATGGATTAAACGTCATTCGCCAGGAGGAAGATGATGACTACGGTCTTCCTCGCACGATGACTATTGACACCTTAGAAAATGAACAGTACTTGTAGGTTTTCTCATTCTCCATGTCCAGGGTGCGCACTAACCGCGACATGTTATAGGACATTTGCTGTTGGCGTTACTACTGCCTTCGGCATCGTCCTTCGCCTGGACAAACTGATGGTGGCAACTAAAGAACTCGTTGGCGAACAATACCATATCCACGGGATTGGCCTGCCGGACACGCGGACCTATACGACGGAAAGGCCCGCCAAGGATGTGTGACCCATTTGATGCTGCTGGGAACGATTAATCACGGATATTTAGCTTGGGTTACTCTGGAAGGTTCAGATCTCGTGATGTTGTAGCATGAATCACTACATCGCCTAGCTATACGCTCTTGTCTATACTGTATGCTAATGTATAATACAATCTAGAGGCTCGGTATGGCCAGTAGACTTTTCATTGTTTGTCGGTGTGCCCAACACGGATTTCATATATGGGACGAATCAGGATAGTCCGACAACGATTTTGACCTCGAATAGATCTCTGATATCTTCTGAACTGTAATTATACGTGCTCACGCTCACGTCTCAAAGCACCGGGGTCCGGGACTTCACATGCCCACAGGGTGACTCCAACAGTCCTTGAAAAGGTGGGAAAGCGCGTTGCCATGTTTGCTCTTCTAAGCGCGGTATCGTAATGATAACATCATCCGGCTACAACACTCGAGCGTGGGCGCAAGTTCATAGGCATAGCCCTTCTATATTTTCTCACAGACATTTCGCTCGCACAACGGCTCCAGATGCCCTGAAGATAACTGAACTTAGTCATCCTGTCTCGAACGCGATAACGACGGAAAGTGCCACTAAGGAACCTGGTGAACAAAGCACATGGGCGCATCAATGAGTCACTCCTGGAGTCTGGCAGCAATCTGGAAATACTAATACTTCTTGGTATACACTAGTTGCTCCTATTTTCCCCGGATCTCGGAAGTACAATAGATACGGCTGCGATACGGTCGGCGGCAATCTGCCACGAGAGTTCTCATCATTTACTTAACAGAGGCGTTTTTGAGAGCAAGGTCAATCATATTCTCCATCATTCTCTACAGTGTGGGCATCACTCGCGTTCAGGTCATTGTGCTAGGGGGCAGCCGAATAAGCTTTTTCAAGTCTGCACTGATCTCTTTTCAAACATTACTGGGAAGCAATAACATGACTGAGGATCCACAGTATGTATCATCTCTCATTATCGCTCGCGATTTACCCATTCACTCAATAGCAGGGGGACACTCTGGGACACTCGTTTCATCCCAGTGTATATTGCAGCCATTTCCCTAGTCGTCTTGCTTCTTGAGAACCTCTACCAGTTGCAAATTGCCAAAAGGCTCTGTTCTAATTTGATCGCACTTGGTGCCCCCTCACTGTCTTCTGGTAGTGTAGTGTTCGACTCTGACTCTGCATACTCCCGAGAATTGAGGGCACCGCCCAGTCTCTCTCGCCGTTTCGTGCGTCGCGATGAGCCTTCCCTGCAGCTATTCAATGTAGCTAGACTCTTGTCGTGTCTTGCTTTGTTCTTTGTATCTGTTACCCAGATCTGTCTGAACGCAGAATATGAGGACCGAACAGAGTCGGTCCGCCAGCCGGCCTCGCTTGAGATCGCTTTATGTGGAACCTACGTGAGTTGGAACTCGCTGTCCCACACAAACATTCATACTAATGCTGCGCAGGCCTACGTTTCGCTGTTATCGCTAGCGACACTTGTGGCACGGCCCAAGACAAGCGGTAGAGTGACCAGATACCTCGTTCTGATACTGCTCTCCGCGTGGGCTGTCTATGCGTACAGAGACATATGGCCATACGCAACGTTCGACCTGACCCCCTTGGACGCCTCTGAGGGGATATACCTATGGACGAAGATTACCTTCTTGACGTTAGCTGCTGTGCTTGTTCCTCTGTTTAGCCCTAGACGTTATATACCTTTCGTCTCCAAGGTATACCATCCTCGTCGCTATTGATGCACACGGGAACACCGCTGACAAGTGCGTGTAGAACGTTGCTTCACAACCTCATCCAGAACAGACCGCTTCTCTCGCATCCTTGGTCTTCTTTACCTGGATCGATCCGATTGTCTTCAAGGCGTACCGCGTTCCACACCTTTCCGTTGACGAGCTTCCTCCGCTTGCTGACTATGATGATTCGGAAAGTCTGGTGAACTCATACATGAAGGTACAACCGAGATGCTTGATTTCTCTAACGTGTTGTTTATTGGCCTATTGCAGGAGCTTGACCCCTTGCTGGCCAGGAAGAAAGGGCAACACGTTGGATGGGGCTTGGTGAAGGTCTTCCGTGGGTATCCGTAATCAACTTAGAAGAGCTACGGTTTAATGGTAGTCCGCAACAGGCAATGACTTCATTGTCATGGGTATCATGCTGACGCTCCACGTACGTGCGTCAACTTTCTCATGATTGACCTGGGCACTGATTGTACTTAGGTTATTGCCCGCTTCGCCAACCCGATGGGCGTAAGGAATCTACTCGCGTATGTAACGCACTTTGGTCTTTGGTGCCACTCTCACATTCACCACAGGTACCTGGAAGGCAGTAGCGACACTACTGTTCGACCCTGGGTATGGGTCGCTTGGCTTTTCGTCGGCCCAATATTCACCGTCATGTCCATTTCCATGTACATCTTCTACGGCGTATGTCGCTTCCTTTGTTTTCCTAGGTATCCTTCTGGTGCTGAAGCTTCTCTCTTAGACCAGAATGCTCGTGCGTTTGGAAGCTCTCGTCACACAACTTGTTTTCAGCCATGCACTTCGCATGAGAGTGAAATCAGATGTCGCGGAGATGCCCGCTCCGAAAGCGAGCGCAGCTTCCACCGTAGCCCCTGGCGGTGAAGGCACTAGTAGCACTCCTGGGGTACAAAACTCCTCGATTGACAGCGCCAAAGGAAAGCAGAGGGCGAGCTCGGATGCCCTAAAGCAAGCTCAGCTGGGCACTGGCTCACAGAAGAGCAAAAACCTTGTTGGTAAAATCAACAATCTGATTACAACGGACCTACAATCGCTCGCCACGGGACGGGACATCTTGCGTCTGTGTAAGTATCGCTGGCACAGTCTGCCTCATGAAGAAGCACGAATAACCTCCTCCTGTAGTTGTCATGGTGCCAGTCCAGACACTCCTATGTATTTGGTTTTTGTACTCCGTACTGGGATGGAGGTAAGAAGATGTCATTAGCATACATTAATGTCTGCTAACTGGAGTTCCAAACGTCAGTGCTTTTGTCGGGATGGCTGTCATAGTTCTGCTCCTGCCGGTTCCTGGTTCTGTCGCTAAAATGATCCGAGGAGTCCAAGTCGAAAAAATGAAGAAGGTGAGTACGATCGTGGGCCGCAGGACTAGAAGCTAATTATCGCTTCAGACCGATACCCGCGTGCAGGGAGTTACTGAAGGTGCACTACTTTCATTACGCTTGACTGATCGCGCATGATAATCTCCTTCTAAACCTCAACCTAATTCGTCAGCCATGAACGTAATCCGAATGATCAAGCTATTCGGCTGGGAGCGCAGAATAACGGATCAGCTAACGGAAAAGCGCGAGGTCGAACTGAAGTCTGTCAAGAGGGCTAGATTTCTGCAAATGATCAGTTCCAGTCTGACGTAAGTACGCATGTTTTAGTAGGGATTCAGTTCGCTTACGATATGTTACAGCCAAGTAATCCCTGTGTTAACGATGATGGCTACTTTTCTCACCTACGTGAGTGCTACCTTGAATTAAATGAACATCGACTGAGAAATAAACGTAGACAATTGTTATGAAGCAAGAGCTAACAGGTATCGAGCCACTATAATACTCTTTTGCGAGTAATGTCTGAGATTTCTCCCGTAGCATCGAAGGTGTTCTCATCGATGACCGGTATGTAGTACTTCAACTGCATGACTTTGTACACCTCTATACTGACAAGCCCAGTGTTTGAAATGTTCACTATGCAGCTCAACGAGGTTTTCAGTATGCTCCCGCTATTCATACGCGGTAACTATCGCTGCACCCACGCTTCAAGTGATACCTCATTAATCGTATCGTTACAGCTAAAGTCTCGTTAGACCGTCTGAATGAGTTCCTTCAAACTGTGAGCACTGTTTCCATTTCGCGTTACCGTAGCAGGCATTAATACTATGAACCTAGACCGAGCTACTGGACGAGTTTGAAGAGCAGCAGGAGGCTCATGCGTCGGCTTCTATGCTGAAGAATGATGTCCCCAGTGACGTGATTGGTTTCCGCGACGCGACATTCACCTGGACCGCAGAGGACAGTCTGTCCTCAAGCACAGGTCCACCGGGCCGGAATTTCACCCTTCGCATTAAGGATGAGTTGGTGTTCAAACAGGGACGCATAAACCTCATCATTGGACCTACTGGGTCGGGGAAGACTTCACTCCTAATGGCACTGTTAGGTAAGAGTAGCCGATGTTTGCTTTTGGCGTATTATCATCCTTGCTACGTAAGGCGAAATGCACTACATATCGTCCGGTCCTGGTTCTTTCTTCAACCTTCCACGTTCCGGCGGCGTGGCTTACGCTGCTCAAGAATCTTGGGTACAGAATGACACGATACGTGTGAGTACTGGACTTCATTCAGTCATGACTTATTTGACGGCGCTGGAAAGGAAAATATTCTCTTTGGTGCGGCGCTCGACGAAGAGAGATACAACAAGGGTATTATCAATAGTTAACAACAATGCGATGTCTGCTGACTCAGTGGATAGTCATTAAGCAGTGCGGTCTCGAACGAGACTTGGAGTTGTTTGATGCTGGCGACCTCACCGAGGTCGGAGAGAAGGGTATTACACTAAGGTATGTGGTATGCAAATACGCACACGCGATCTGTTTTGACGTTTCACCCATAGCGGGGGACAAAAGGTGACTAACCCGTGAATGTAAACCCGGCTTTTATGCTCACGCCAGATGACATAGGCCCGAGTGACTCTTGCGCGAGCCGTGTACTCGAAGGCAGAAATCCTGTTACTTGATGATGTAAGCGAGATGGAAGGCTCATTTCTTCTATCACTCATGAGCACAGATTCTGGCTGCTCTCGATGTGCACACTGCTCATCACATTATGGAGCATTGTCTTAAAGGTGACCTGATTCGAGGTCGCACAATACTTCTGGTGGTAAGTCCTCGCAGCGTGTCATATTTATCGCTGCTGACTTGTACAGACCCACAACGTCGCATTGGCTACTCCTGTGGCGGGTTTTATTGTTGCTATGGGTACAGATGGACGAGTTTCCAGTCAGGGTTCGCTCTCAGATGCTCTGGAAGATGTCACACAATTGGCGAAGGATATCGTCGAGGAGCGCCAAGCCGCCGAAACAGCGGAGGACGTCACCGACAAGATTGAAGTCTCTGCGAAGGCTTCAAAGAGCGGCAAGCTTGTTGTTGCAGAGGAGATCGCTATTGGTCATGTCGGCCTCAAGAGCAGTGCGCCGTCCCTTCTCTAAATGAGAGTGTTACTGATAGTTGAGCAGTGAAGTTGTACTTCTCCAATCTTGGGGGAAAGCATTACGTCATGTTCTGGCTGTTGGCGCCGTCCATCCTAGTGTTTTCAGAAATCATACGCAACCTGCAGGTTTGGTGGCTTGGGTATTGGGCACGGCAGTATGAGGAACGTGCGGCCGAAGAAGTCAGCGCCCCTTTGTGAGTTCCTTGTTTGTAAAGTGTGAACTCAACTCATATTGGCCCATCAGTTATTTATCAATCTACGGCCTGCTTTTATCCACTACGGTCCTCCTCATCACCGCATTCAATATTTTTTGGATCTTTGCCACACTGCGGGCTTCGAGAGCGATCCACAAGAGTCTCATCGCCTCTGTGTTTACCGCGACATTGAGGTATGCCTTTCACAATGCGAGCCAACGATCGTGACCAATGTAGGTTAGATGGCTCGATAAAACACCCACCTCACGTGTCATCGCGCGGTGCACTCAAGACGTAGATGCCGGTCAGTATCCCGAGTTGTACTTGGAGAGACTGTAGCTCATAGGGTAAATCACAGTTGACAGCAACATTCCAATGAGCTTGTTTTGGCTCATGCTGTTGTCTGCGTCTATAATACTGAAGCTGGGCGCTGTTGTGATCACTTCCCCATTATTCCTCACTCCTGGGATCATTATCGCACTCGCAGGCGGATACATCGGCCACATCTTCATGAAGGCCCAACTGTCTGTAAAACGCGAAATGAGCAATGCTCGTGCGCCCGTGCTGGGTCATATCGGTTCTGCATTCTCTGGGCTCGGTATGCGACCAGCGTGAATGAACCGTGCCGAGGACTAACGTGTATGTATGCGCAGTGTCTATCCGAGCATTTGGAGCTCAGCAAGCATACAAGAAAGCATCGTACGCACGTGTTAACAGATACACTTCCTCTGCCAACATTTTCTGGAATTTGACACGGTCGGTCTTACATAGCTACAGGCTTTGTCTGTTGAACGAGAACTGACGGGCAAAATAGATGGGTGTGTATTCGCCTGGAAGCACTTAGCGCCCTGTTTACTGCGAGTTTGGCTGCATATCTGGTTTACGCCTCCCACGATAACGCATCGAACATCGGCTTTGCACTTAATATGGCAGGTCTGTCTCAACGAATTCATATATGAAGCATCGTTTTTGAGATTGGTTTCAGTTGGTTTCAGCAGCCTGATGCTGTCCTGGGTGCGCATGTTGAACGAGACTGAGGTGAACGGTAAGTCTGTCGTCGAGGTGGTGATACCTGCCTAAATATCTCGTGTTCGTAGGCAATAGGTAGGGTCTATGAAGGTATGCTGGTCAATATACTGATGTGCGATATGTAGCGTGGAACGCATTCACCAATACCTGGAAATTGAACACGAGCCAGCACCTACCCAAGACGGACAACCACCAGCTTACTGGCCAGCCAGTGGCGATCTCAAGGTCGAGCAACTGTCTGCTCGTTACTCTGAGGTCTGACAATTCAAAAATTATCTGATCTTCTGTCGTGACGCCCTTTCGCAGGACGGCCCTCGGATCTTGCATGGTATTTCTTTTGAAGTCAAATCTGGCGAACGCGTAGGCATTGGTATGTGATCCTGTGCGGAGCAATTTCAGCGACCCCTGATTAAACTTGAACCACGCAGTGGGACGAACTGGAAGTGGAAAGGTGTGTAGCTGCACCGGTTCGACTCCTTGAAGACGATGACTGATTACCGTAGAGCTCCTTAACACTAGCGCTGTTGAGGGCTATCATCACGGAGGGTAAAGTTCATTATGACGGCCTCGCCACTGATAGCATAAATTTGGATGCACTACGATCTGCTATCACCATTATTCCACAATCTGTGCGTTTTGAGACTGATTTTGCAATGATTGTCCACTGACCAGTCTATCAAGCCTGAGCTACTCGGCGGAACTCTGCGACAAAACCTTGATCCGTTCGGGCAGTACGACGATGCAGTAATGAACAACGCTCTACGCTCTGCGGGGTTGTTTTCTTTGCAGAACGACATGACGGAAGGACAAATCACTCTCGATAGTCCAATTGCGAGCGGAGGTGGCAACTTGTCCGTCGGACAAAAGCAAATACTTGCGCTTGCGAGAGCGATCCTGAGGCAGAGCAAGCTACTGATCCTAGATGAAGGTACGTTCAAGGCCAAATTTACGACAATCATGACTGACAGTAATAATCAGCGACGTCTGCGATCGGTAAATAATCGGGTTTCGACAACTTGCTAACATTTTGCTGATCTATGCTATCAGACTATGAGACGGACGCTGTAATTCAAGCTTCCTTGCGCACGGAGCTTGATAAGAGTGTGACCATCCTGACAGTCGCGCACCGTCTTCAGACCATCATGGATTCTGACAGGATAGTGAGTGCGATATCTTTTCTTTCACACGTACCTGCTCACCTCCGGCAAAGATGGTGCTTGACGCCGGCAGGATTGTGAGTATTATTATCCATACTTCCACATGTTCGTCGCTGATGCATTGCAAAGGTCGAGTTCGGCAAGCCAAGTGACTTACTGTCGATTGAGGGCGGACTGTTGCGTGCCCTTGTAGACGAGAGTGGTGACAAGGATAAACTGTACGCAATGGCCGTTGGGGACGGTCCTCATTAGGTCTAAATTGGAGATCGAGCCTTGACTATTCACTCCTACCTTCTAACGATGTTTTGACTACCTAGCATTGATGTGTACTTATTGGTAATTTCTCCTTATACGTGATGAACGGAGCATTTCCTTCAAGGTGGGAAATCTCAACGCCTTGTTTCAAGAGTCGGCCATTGTTGACAGGCGTAACCGACTCGGCCGCTTTCGTCAATGCTGCGGTCATCAGTGATGGCATCGGTCTCCCTGCACCGCTGATCCATACGGATAATTTCCAAGAATTTCTATTTCACAGAATTGGATTAAACACATTGTTGTCTTGTGTTGGTGACATTTCTCATCTCCCACGTCTATAGAATCACCTGTGTAGCTCGTTTAAGAAGTCCAGGTACGAGCAAATGAACTCGCTCACTAACATGCTTAACACGGAACACAACAAATCGATGATCACGCCCAGAAGAGACCCATCCATACAACCATAGTTTACTCTACCAGCCGAACAAATTCTTCCCTTCCACAAAGCCCAATTCTTTCAAGCCAGGGACAGCCGCCTTCTCGATCAGACTGGGCGGTCCGCACACAAGTGCGACCGTATCATCACCGGCGGGATACAGATGCTCCTCCCTGACAATAACACAGATTGAACATACGACTATGGGCAGAAGACCTACACTCACATGACTTTCTTGTCCAGGTGACCAGCCGTGTACTGCCGGAAAAAGATGTCCAGCCAAGGAAAAAGTGACGCTTAACGCATAGAGAACCGACCTTCCACTCCCTATCCTTTGGTGGTTTAGACAGGCAATGCCAGAGCTTGAATCTCTCTTGCTCTTTATCCGCATACTCCTGAAGCTGCTCGCGCATGAGAATGTCGTCAAAGGTCTTGTTGCTGCGAAAGGCTTAGTCATTAAACCAGTATCGATATATTTACCATCTGTGGTCTCACCTGTCCACAAGGGCGATCTTCGTCTTGTCGTTCTTGTTGGAGAGTATGGCGTGGATGACTTGCCAGTGCGGCGTCAAACCGCTACCTCCCGTCACGAGACTGACCTAGGAAAAAGCGGAATGGCTTTTGGGCCCGGAGTCTTCCTGAATTGAACGAGGACTCACCTTCGTGAAATGGTAGGTCTTTCCTTCTATCTCAAACTCCCCGTTGCCTTTGTACTCTATCTCGCCATTTGGACCCAATATATCTATCTCCTCGCCTAACATTGATGTCAGACATCAAATAATCAGCGAGAATGGATTAGAATACCCTCTTGCATGAGATCGAGATAGTTAGATGCTGTGCCTCCTGGCGGGAATGGACCGCCGTCTGAGGGCAGGTATGTCTTGACCAACAGCTGAAACGTCCCATCTTCCTCATGAGGGAGAACCGGGCTGACGGGAGTGTAGGAACGCATGACTGCCTGATCTGCAAAGTGTATTGCCTTCACCAAGTTAACAATACGTGCTAGCTCCTCGGCTTGTGCCGTGACTTACTATTTGTACATGCTTTCCAACTGGAAGGCCCATACGCCCATGGCTCCCGTCTTTCCTCTTAGGAAGCTCGAACGTGTATAACCTACAAAGTCATAAAGCCGCTCACATGCAGATACAGTTGACAGTTGACGAACCTAGTGTCCGAGGTTTTCTCCTCCCGTTTCAGCAGCTTAGCGGCTACAAAGACGTCCGGCTGCAGAGCGAAGTCCTTGCGCTTTTCCTTCATCTCGGCAAGCAACTTGGCGGCTCTTTCAGCATCTTTCTCGATGACCTTCATCGCTTCCTTCGTCAGCTCGCCGATCAAACATTCATCACGTTTACTGTTTGCGTCTGAAAGAAGTAATGCAACTAGTACAATCGTTGAATTGGGCGAAAGGGAACAAACGCACAGCCGTCGTGAATTCCCTTGTACTAAACAGCGTCGCATTAGCACAATCTTTGAGGAATATTAAAGTCACCTACTTGGTTCGTTGCATCCACAGTAGCCTTGCCAACGTATCCTATGATAGCGTTCGCGCCTCCTGAAGCTCTCATTAGCGCTTCAGGCTCAAGGCCATTCAGCATGTAGACGTACCGGGGTGCCAGTCAAGTACTGAGGTAACGTCGTACACCTTGCCATCAAGGATCAACCAGGCGTCGTCCTAGCTTTGTTATGAGTACGCTGAAGCAAATGGCCAGACAACGCCTACCCGCTTGTTGTGCTTCTCTACTTCTTCTATGGAGAAGGTCTTCCCGGACGAACCCCCGGACTGGTCGGCCATCACGTCCTCAATGTTGGGCTTCATCCAACCTCCCTCTTCCTGGCCAGGAGCGACTGGGTGGCGGAAATGTATCACAGGCTGCTTCGTCTCTGGATCTATAACAAGGGAAGGCCGGACACGGTACCAGGAGTTACTAGAAATCATAGGTTTGACAAGGCGCCACAGATGTTGATGAATATTAAACTCACTTCATCATGCCCTAGCGGCAATACCGGTCAAGAGATCAGAGCCCATGCCACACGAGTCCTTGTCAATTTGCTTACTTACCATGATGTTCCTGCAGAAGACTCGGTGAGCACAAGTCAAATATCAATTTTACTGAGATTTACCATGTTAGACTAATGCAGAGCGGAAGAGGAAGAAGCGTAAATATGAGCTGTAGTCCCGGTGCCAACTTTAAAGGGCAAACAACGCACTGCTCAGGCTGGGTATTCTTCTTCGTATCAAAAGCGCGCACTAAAATCTCTTTAGCGTTGGCCAGGTCGCTGATGCGGACCTCGCAAGACCTGTCCAAAGTTTTCTAAGTGCGCGCAGGCGCCTCAATCACTCCAAAACTCACCAAAACACCCATGCCCAATGCTTCGTACCATGTCTGTGGGGAGGCGTTGGTGGATGTTCCTGCCGAGATGCGGACACTTACCTTGTAGGTCTGTCCATGAAGCGGCGCGAGCAGTACTTCCACGTCGTTCCTTCGTCCAGGGATAGCTCCACACGATGTACCTTGGTGCCGGAACCATCATAGGCATATCCCTCCACTTTGTAAAGCTGGTCGAGCCCGCCTTTTTCTGTTGGTAGGGGCAGACGTTCATCATGCGCAGGTTTGCAGATGACGGATTGCAGGATCTATATCGGCGTATAAGGGGTCATTGACTATTTTGAATTGAACTCTGACGGGACGTACTTGCTCATAACATGCGTTATCTTCGGAATGGAAGAAGGCATCGGCAAGCGGATGTTCCTTCGAGTCAATCACTGAAGGGACGACCTGCAGAAGTGGTCAAGCAGGCGCGATGAACGCACCGAATTCCCTCACCTTGTTGTCCCAGATGTCTGTGCGCGATAGTCAAGCAAATTGCATGAACAGACTAGGAACAAAGATACTCACGATAATGAGAACTGTTAGCTTCTTTCGAGATCCAGATCTAAGTGCGTGAGGGTCAATCTATGATAGAAGACGAGACGGTTAGCTACGACGCACATTCTTGAGCCATTTGACCTGCCGCCCTCCAACGAACCCCTGGATCATTCGGAGCTCGTAAATGAGGAGACGCGTAGCCTATCCGTGCACATACAGGAATTACAATCCTCAGAGGCTGTTTCGGAATATTATCCATTACATCAATGCGTTATATTACGTATGTATGCGACTTACATAGCCGTGATCAGGGTGGAGGACACGATCGTTCTGTCCGAAGACGAGCAAGACGTCGTTGGCGGGATCCATTGCGTGCGCGAGAGGAATCGAGGTCGCATACGTCCCCTCAGAACACTGATCGGCGCCTGCATAGCGTCAGCCTTGGCTTGATACATATCCGAGAACGAGGTCACACACCTTCCAGGTTCAGAAACCTACACTCATGGTCAGAAAAGATACGTAAAAAAGGAGTGCCACGAACCATTCTTCGTGTTCAGGGCCCGTCCTAAGCCCGGTTGCCAGCAGGAGATCGCGAATAAAGATGCCACGCCAGACGCATGTCGATACACCTTGACGTGGAAGAATCGCCTTATCTGAGCGTCCAATATATGATGTGGTAGCGACACACCTGCCGCCGACCAGTTGTATCCCGCCGACCGCTTAACCATGTTGACCTCTTTCCGACGATCTAGTATACAGCGAATATTGAACGATGAGGTTCCAACCAGTTAGCTCGGTGACGCACTCCCATCGCATGCAATCGTCACAGGAAGTTCGCACAGAGGAAATGGCCCCTCCGCAATCTCGTCCATAGTCCACAGACGAGTCGCGGTGGGTTCGCCGTCATCTGCTACTCCAAAGTGCACATTGTCTCTGTCCCCTTCCTCGACCTTGCATTTAGAGTCGATATAGACAGTGACGGAGAGCTTGTGTGAGTCCCAGTCGAGCGCGGGGACCGGACCGTGACTTCTCACGTAGTGCAGCCTGAAAGCGCATCTCATCAGCACTGCAAACTAAGAGAACGGGATGCGATTAGACGGGCGGACTTGGTGGGTGTGATCATCCCTGCATCGAACAAGGCGGTCAGACTAGGCTCGGCATTGAGCGGATGCCTTCCAGTCAAACGCAGAAGTTGCTGCGAGCGAGGTATCCAGGAGTCGGGTGTAGATCTAGAACGCGCATATAGTCAACAAAACATGCGATTGGCGGCAGAAGGGCACCTACTGGTCATCTATGCTGATTTTGCTCTCCAACTGGTCATCTGCATTGTCATCCAAAAGTTGGAAGGGCTTGCGCACTCTGCCATCGTTGTTGCGCAAGACGTTCGAAGCGTGGACCTCCTCCACTATGAGCGTTCTCAGGCGGGCAACGTCGGGATCCTCCTTTTGCTTATCTCCCTTCGTGTTTAAATTCTCCGCTGAATTATTTTGTTGTTCGTCGCCTTTCTTGTCCTGATCGGCGTCGTCCTTTCCCTGCCTTTCCAAGCTGTCTTGCGAGTTGCTGCTGCCGTACCCACTGTCGGTCGCCTTCTTATCCTTCTCGTCTCCGCTTGTATGGTTACTATCGCCTTCTTTGCCCTTACCGCTTCTGTCTCCGTCCTTGTCCTTTTCACCTTGCTGTGTCTTAGCGTCCTCGTGTTTCTTCCCCGGCCATTCCTGTCCTTTTATAGCCATCTCCGATACAGGAAGAACGAAACGAGCGAATGCATGGTGCTATACAAGGTTGTAGCAACGCGTATATATTCGTCTCATATTTCAGAAGACATACCCGCGGGTCAAGCAGCTTGAAACTGGTCGAGTTTATAAGGACAGGAACTGAGAACAATTATAAGGAACATTACTTTGGTACGGCCTTCTTCGCGTCTCGAACGGTGAGAACACTGTCCGGACTTTCCAAAATTGCGTCGACACCGCCCTTGGCATGAATATCCTCCCGAGTACGCTCCCATTCGCGTTTCTTATCTTCGAGCGTGATTCCACCTCCGTCCCCGTCGTCCTCGTCGTCTTCCTGGTCATCTGGGTGCAGCCAACCACCCTCGCTAGGCTCTCCGTACGTGCCAGACTTTCGCCCGCCGTCCCAGAGCGTGCGCCCCAGCGGTCTGTGTCTCGACGTGTCGTTGGCGTTCAAAGAGTCATCATAGGATACTTTGTACTGGTCTGAAGGCTTCAAGCGGACTGTATGCGGTGTCCTCCAAGGCGGTCTGAAGGAGGATTGTTCACCAGAAGAACTAGGGTCCGGCATATCGAGAGCGAGCAACGGTATGTGGAGGAATGAGCACAGTCTGTGGACGGGGGTGACAAAAGATTTATAGTCAGCTTGCTAGGTCTCGACTTATAGCGGTGTAATCTATTTCAGTCCCATTGTTCGACGCGGACCAAATTGACAGGCGGCGAACTACGACAGTTGCTGCATTTAGTAGTATCATGCTCGTTGCGGACCAGACCCTTTTGAGGTAGAAGCCAATCATTAAGCTCCCCGTCAAAAGCAAAAGTCAACTGACGTCATGAAACACCTGGCGCATAGCGTGCAGGACGACAACCGTGACTTTACACAGCTTGTTGATCAGCAACGCATACACATGTACCGTCACCATTGCAATCGACCAGTACGTTTTGAGCCGCTATTACACCAGGAAGATACGCATGAACCCAGCTATGATGCATTAGTGGTAGTTCAAATATCAATATCCAGCATTTCACAAAAATAACACCCGAGGACCTCCAGCAGATTAGCGCCCGACTGATCGTGATCGTTCACGTGAGATTGATGAACCATGACGTGGTTTGTGCCAAGTTTGGGACAAGTACTGTACCGTCGCCAGCAATACTATGAGGCTAAAGCAGATGGCTGCACATAACGTGTTGGCTTTACTCTAGAAAGCTTTGCTCGCAATGACTTACGCGGAATAAGACGGGAATACTCTATACGTAATTCATTGACAACGACGCACTAGCCGGGGGCTATGTTCTTGTACTGCGGTATTAGCGAAAAACCTTCCTTCATACATTATACTCTGGGGTAAAACTGCGGCAGAAGCTCGTTCGGCTCGCAGCGACTTCGGAGTCAATCTGTCTCACATCTCCAGACGCTCGTCTCGCATCGCGACCTTCCTCGACAAATCCGCGTCGGCCTCACAGAGCCCGGTGACGTGATACGGAGAGGTTTCGCTCGGTCCTCCACCTGAGCCTGTATGCAAAACCATGTAAAAAGGACTATTGTAATTGGAGTCACGGTAATGCGCACTACTAGATCCACAGCCGCTCGATGAGCCTATTTTAGGACAAGGGCAGCCTTATGCAACGTACGTGCCCTGGATGCTCCTCATTGGGTTCAAGGACTCATATAGATCCCCTTAGAGACTGACCATATTCACGCATCCTTCTCTCCTCTCTCCGCCATTTTTCTCTGCACCTCCCGCTACTAACTAAACGCTCACCGTCCCCACAATTCTTCTTCGTCACGACGCCGAACCTAACAGTTCGATACAATGACTATGGCTGTTCGTCTCTCCAAGATGGACAATGGAGCTCTCAACGACGCCCAGAGCGACGCTGAACCTCAGCTGTTGAACACGCCCGATTCGCAGATCAGCATGGATCTGAGCGCGCCGCACGAGGCGACTCAGCGTCAGATTGAAGCACAGGTCACTCAGTGTCTAGCAGGCTCAACAATTCAGCCGACTCCTCGTTCATTGCAGCAGGGGGTCCCCAAGGGCATGTCACAACTTGACCAGAATCAACAGTCGCAAAAACACAATTCCCCCCAGCAGCAAGGTCCTCCCCAAACGCAGATCATATTTCGGAGCGATCAGTACATCCAATTGTGTAAGCGCTCTAAGATCTGTGGGGGGGGGGCATAATTAGGCAGCTGGAGCAGGACCTTGCCCACCATAATAAGCAGGAGGGCATGCTGCCCGAGAAGACTCACCGGCTGCAGGCAAAGGAATATACGGAGCAGATCAACCAGTTCAGCAGCGAGTATCACGACATGTGCAATCTCATCGACGCAGTGCTTGCGGATTCAATGGTCTCAGATACAGGCGACACGTAAATGTGCACCACTCTCTTCCGTTTCTAGTACTGATAAGTTGCAGGAATGATGAGCCAGCATCTGACTACCCGACGCAGAACAACCCACGACAGGGACCGTCTTCCTCACAGCCGTCTCAACCGCCGATGATGCCGCGTCAGGTAAGGATTGCATTGCAGGGAGATCCGGCACCAGGGAAGTCGAAGAAGCCGTCTACTGAGGACATCAAGCCGTACGTTGGACTCGACGCTGGTCGATATCCTACCAAAGCCGAGATTCAGTAGGCGAATCTGTACAAAGAACTGCTGGTCGAGCAGTTGATACGGCGTACGTCCGTTTCGTGCATGCTATCATCCGATCTGCAGTACTTAACTATCCTAGCGGGTATGAACAACATGAAGCCGCAGTTTATTCCTCCTGAATATGAGTCGGAGTACGCTGCGGTCTTTCAGGAGCTCTGTGGCTACGCCTCCCGGGTATACCCTGCTTTGGAGCTCATAATTTGTGCATACCACGACCACATCGTTAAGAAGATCATGGCCGCGGTAATTCAATCAAGCATGTGTGCTATCGTGAAACTCAAATCTTGCTGCAGACCATGACTGCCCTTCGTCAGCAAGAACTCAGTGAGCAGAAGGGTAGCCCGCACTATCTGCTTCAATTCGAGAGTATCCGGAATATCACCGATACGATGAGGAGCGTCGTCCAAGCAAACCCGTATAGTGGCATGGCGCAGCAAGTGTTCCCTGGCTCCACTTCAGCAGTAGCGTCAACTTGATAGCGCGCAGCAAGATGATTCTCCTGCCATTGCAAAGCCACTACTACCCCTGAGAGATTATGACGCACTTACCTTTCACGCCTTATATTTGTATCTGCAAATCGACGTTTAAGAATATGAATGAGTATCTGGGGATCAGACGTGCTCTACACGATCAATGGAACAGAGGGTCACTCTTCCTGAGAACGCACACACTGCGCGATGACTTCAGTATTGCAGAGTACCATAAGAGGGTACAGAAATAGAATACCGCATGCATATCATTTGTCCAGATCTCCTACAGACATGGTCGCCGGCTGGTGTGCTGTTGGAGTTCGGAGAGTTATCGGAGGAGACTTTGTACTGATCTGAAGGCTTCGAGTGGACTGTATGCGGTGCCTTCCAAGGCGGTCGGAAGGAAGATTGTTCGCCAGAAGCACCAGAGTTCGGCATGTCGAGAGTGGGCGGTAATAGGTGGAGGAATGAGCATAGGCCGGGACCGGCGGCAATAACAGCTATATATCCAGCCTTCCAGGTCCCCGTTTTCAGCAGTATCATATATGGTAGTCCCAATGTTCGACATAGATCAAATCGACAGGCGACGAACTACGACAGTTGCTACATTTTATAGAATAATGCCGAGCAGATCCTTGAAGTAAAAGCCGACCATGAAGTTCGCCGTTGCAAAGGCTGACTGATGTCATGGTACACCTAGCGTACGGTGTGCAGAACAACAGCATCGCAAAGTCTGTTGATTTGCAACACAAACCAACGCGATGATGTAGATGAGACGAACACGTGCCTCTGCCATCAGAGTCTTTGACCAGAGTTTTGAACCGCGATTACATCACAATGATGCGCATGGTTCTAGGCATAATGTAATTACAATAGTTCATAAACAACTTGTATTGTTCAGCATCTCACAGAAATAACCCCAAACGTCCATCAGCGGATGTGCGTTCTAAGTTGTGGCCAGTTGACTGGTGCTCGATTGATCGGCACATCATTCACGTGACCCATGAGCTAGGATGCCATATACGCCAAGTTCGTGGGGAATATACCATCTGAAAGGTGTGCAGAACTCACAGAGATCTCATTATTATGTTGTAGGGTGTATAGCTCGGGAATCGCGTTTCCAACTACGTAGTTCTGAGTAAGTGCGCAAAAATCTACAATGACCTATGTAGGCTTATAGGCCACGAAGCCAGCCTCCCGTTTGCTTAGGTTTCCGAGCGTTGCCGAACAGCGCGCTACGTGCAGTACATGCCATTGCGTATACCATTGGCGAAGGTTTACCAAGGCTTCTCTACAGTAACAAGCTCCGAGCGCTGCTAACTACGTATATCTTCATCAAGGTTTCGGATGGCGCGCGCATAAGTGAGGCGTTTGGACGTGCTTGGTCGCCAACATCCATAAGCGTTCTAAGCAAGGTCATAGCCCAAGAGTTGGCACTTTTCTCACCTAAAGTCATGTGTCGACTAAGTGATAATCGAAACAAGATCAAATGAGTAGTCCTGTTCCTCCTTTGGCTCAAGGCCTTATATAAAACCCGTCAGCGCCCCAGTTTCTGCACGATACGTCTTCACAGCAGCAGAATGTACACACAGGCACGCCGGACATGGAGACGTCCGTGGAATTACCCCAGAATACGCCGCAGACGTCGCTGATGCCGCATCAGCAGGCCCTCGCTCAGATGACCGACGGGTCCGCGCAGCAGACGGCTGAACAGTCGCAGCGCCAAACGCTGCCGACCCTTGTTCCGCAAGCGTTCGCACACGCGTTCGAGAACCGGACCAGACGCAACAACTCGGCCGTCGACCGTTTGCAATTGCAATTTGAGGGGCGCCCGATTGACCTCCACGCGTTGCGCTCCGAAGGAAATATCGCCGGTGGTCCTGAGGCGGTACGTCTACATTGCCTACTACTATCCTTCATCCCGTTCATTGTATTTGTTGTGTGCTCACAGGTGGATCGTGACGATTTGTGGCCCGTCATCGGCGCTAAGCTCGACTTCATTCAGTTCTTAGCGACAGAGAACGAGCCAGAAAAGTCGGTCCCTGGCGTAGCAGTACACTTGCAGAACGTGTACAAGAAATATCTCCTCGCTTTCAACACCGCGTATTTGGCCTCGTGGCGAAAGCAGCAGCTCAACGTCCGCCACGCGGACCCTACGAGACCTCCACAGCCCATGATGGACAGGAATGACCTGCCTGCTCCGTCCACGGCAAGCGCACAGAACGGTCCGATACTCATCGGAATCAACGATCCCCACACGCTCAACACTCTGATGCAGTACAGTCAGTATCCCGCAGACGCGCTTTTGCGCCGCGGTGTAGCTCCCAATATTGTCAGCGTCGTAGAAACGAACCGTACGCTTCTTCAACAAAGCTTGCAAAGGCAGGCCGAGTCCCGCGCGACGAATAATGCACCCAGCGTATAGCACAGGGGAACGCCCGCGGGTAGCCTGATGTTCCCGAACAACGCGGGCTAGCAACCACTTTAGCCACAGCCTCGGTATCATAGCGCGCAGCAAGATGACTAGGCTGTACCACACCTTATCCCTCCTGTGCCATTGCCAAGTCACTACTGCCACTCCATTCACTGTACGTTCCTCTGGGAACGCTGTAGCCTCGCAACCCACCAAGGTCCCCCAAGGATGCGGCGGTGATGCCAATCTCGATGTTCCTGCTTGCGCCTGCACCAACACACATTACGAATGATGTATATCATATTATCTTCATCCTGGCCATTTCATTCGCGATCACGATATTCTTGGTGTATAGTGCTTTCTGAGAACTTATGTTTCTGGATCTCAATCTGTACAAAGTAACATAGTGTACGATAGCGACTCACGACGGCTTATAGATTATCAAGGCACTTACCTCTTGTTCACTGTGTTTACTATCCGAAGTGTTGTGATGATTATCTTGGCATCTCCACTGTTCAGACACAATCTGAAACATTTGTCTTTCCTCTCTATTTCTGGTACTACTAGCGCCCATACTGGCGCCTGTCTTAGCGCTCACCCGCAGGTTGAACATTATGTAGCTTACATAATGGGGTCCGTGCGCACTTTGTACCTGATATCGTACCACTACGTTTCTTTCCTCACTAACACGACCACATAGACACGATGGTCCGTGCGTAGTCGGTACTTGTATAAGTAGTTGTACCATTAGTCGGTCGAACCCTAAGTTCGACCTGGTTATTCATTCAAGTCTCTGCTCCTCTTCGCTTGGAGTAGTGGTCATTCTCGACTTCCTCGCTCGATCTTCCGGACGACGCACTGTCCATAAGCCCTCGCTCGTTGTCTACGAGTCAGGCATCGATATAGGAGTATAGACCGTTGTATCAAAAGGTCGAACTTTCTAAGCTACGTTCCTAGTTTCACCTAGTCGAACAACTCATCCACCATCACGTCGAACAACGCAGTAAACCCAGTTCCCTTGGGACTACCAGCCCTCGCAGGATCTCCCCTTCTCCAGTACGACCGAGCAGACCGTTGCTTCGTCACCACCACAAGAAGGACTCCCATCTATCCTCGAGGCGGCTCCTGGGTTTGCGCAGAAGGATCCAACCCGCAGATCATCGCCCATCAACAGCTTGTCAGCTATTACCAGAGACACCCTCCCGCTCACCCAGAAGACGTATTCGCCACCCTACGAATCAACGTCGAACCAGCACAAACAACAGAGAACCTACAGTCACCTGTTAACGAACAACCGTTCGAGCTCCCGGACGTTCAGTACGTTCCCATCGAGGCTCCAGAACTACCACCAGCTCCACCTGCACCAACCAACGCACCGGTTGAAATCCCTATGGCAACGTTCACTCAAGCAGACATCGATCAGCGCATCGCTGTCGCCCTTGCAGCATATCAATCCCAACAGTCAACTGCCAACCGACCCCTTCGCCTTGACATCCCCGCTCCCGAACCTTTCAGCAGAAAGGCGGAGGACCTCAGACGCTTCATCCAATGCGTCCTCTCCTACTTCGTCGCCACCAACAACACCAGACTTAGTGATGAAGCAAAGATCGCCTTCACTGTAGCGTTGATGAGGAAGGACCTAGGGAAGACATGGGCAGACGCATACTACGAGAAGTCGGCAGGGGGAGTCCAGGTCTATCCCGATTGGGCAGCCTTCGCCACCGCCCTTGAGGAAGTGTTTCCCGAGCACGGAACGCGAATCAAGGCACACCAAATCCTGATGAGACTGCCCGAACGACAAAAGAACAAGAAGACGGCGCTCTCCCTTGGAAACTACGTCACCCGCTTCGAGCAGCTAGCGTTGAAAGCCCAGCTCAAGGACGCCGAAGTCAATTGCGTCAACCGCACCGAGAACGACTACCACACTCTCCACGCCAACTTCGTCAAAGGACTTCCAAAGGAGCTCTACGTCTCTCTCGCAACCAGGGCCGCTAGGGACCGACCCAGCACCATGAAAGCCTGGTACGACGAAGTCCGAAACGCCGACGCCGCTGAACAAGGGGCCCTCACCGTCACAGACACCAGGGACTACGGCGAGCCAATGGATATCGACGCCGCTGCAGTCGCGGCAACCTTTGCCTCCACATCGGGAGGAAGGAAGTGGGAACTAGGAGCAGTTCTCAATGAGGCCGACCGGAAGCTCCACAGAGATGGAAACCTGTGCTTCTACTGCCACATCAAGGGCCACAGCGCCAAGGATTGCCGCAAGAAAGCTGTCACGACTTGGTACGGCGTCTAGCCGTTTTTTAATTTTTTCCTTTTCGCGGGCTCGAACCCGCGACCTCTGTACTACCTGCCTGATATGGACGCATCACTATCTACTGTACGATTAGATTAGATGGAGCGGCAGCGCACGGCACAGCTCGGGCCCCGCTGACACAGCCGCTCTGACTCACCGGCCCCCGGGGCCGCATCGGCATGCTGTGCACGGACCAGCTGCGCACGGACCAACGCGCACAGCCTGCCCTGATCTTCCCCTGTATATAAGCTGGCCTCTGCTGCCCTAGGGACCTCAGTTTCGACCTCTTGTCCCTAGGTCAGTAAGCTCCCATGTATCTGCTTACTTACTTATACTAACTAATATACTTTCTTGTCCCTAGCCTTAGGTTTGAGCCTCGCTCACCATCGCTTCGGTAAGAACCAGTTGGACGCCCCTCGCTTCCAGACATTCCCCTGTCGCTCGACCTCAAGTCGCGACAAAAGCGGCCGCACGACAAGGGGGTGGGAAGCCGAACCAGGGAGGACCTGGGAAGGACGACTTCCGCGCCAGAATCAAGGCACTCTCCGCTGACGAGAAGCGGGAGCTGTATGAAGAACTTATGATGGAGGATTTTTGAAGGGGCAGGGTGAGCCGACGCAACCACTGCCCGTATCCGTTTCACTGTCCCGTGTAATTCTAGTAGTTCGAAATGAACGCGCTCTGCACATTCCGATTACTGTGGGACGAAAAGACGTCGAGGCGCGCGCTTTCATCGATAGCGGCGCAACTGGAATCTTCATCAGTCCGAGATTCGTCCGAGAACATCGACTTCGGACAGAACCTCTTCCCTGACCCATCCCCGTCTTCAACGTGGATGGAACTCCGAACAAAGAAGCACTCATCACGCGAAGAGCTCTCTTATCTTACAAGATAAGCGGAGAACCCCGATTCGTCAAAGCCTACGTCGCCAGCATCGGCAAGGAAGACATCATCTTCGGCCACACGTGGCTCAAACTCGAAAACCCCAAGATAGACTGGAAAACCGGACGAGTGGAGCTGAACCACCGGTGGACAAGAGACGAGACCAGGGCCTGGAAGATGGACCTGTACCAAAGGCGAGTGGCCCGGCTAGAACTAAAGAAGGCCGTAACTACCCCACTCCCAGAACCAACGGAGGATGAACTCGTTGTCATCCCCACCTCAGAGCACGCAACCCTTCCCGAATGAAAGACTAGCGGCGCAGCAGGATATGACATCTCTGCTGCACATCAACTCATCATCCCTGCCCGACGACGAGGCCTGGTCGGCACTGACCTTATCATGGCTATCCCCGAAGGACACTACGGAAGAATCGCACCTCGGTCTGGTTTAGCGCTAAAAGAAATTGACGTTGCTGCAGGAGTAATCGACTCCGATTACCGAGGCAAGGTCTCAGTCCTGCTGGTCAATAACTCTGATCTCCCATTCACTGTCAAAGCCGGCGACCGAGTTGCCCAGCTCATCCTTGAAAAGATAAGCACTCCACCAGTAACGCTAACTGACTGCGTCGACGAGACCGAACACGGGGAGGATGGGTTTGGGTCAACGGGTATTGCGTCCATCGAGGAACAAGCGGAGGACATCGACGATGATGAGTTCATCATTTCCTACTTATCTGGGGCACCGATGATCACCAAGTACGAGAAACAGGAACCCCTGGCAGCGAGGGACGTTCCACTCAAGGAGCGACTCCCTGAACCCTCATCTGGCTACAAACGACTTCACAACGGCATGATCTGGAAGGTCCACCACGACATTAGGCGCGTCACCACTTCCACCGAACTTGCAGCCTCGAACGCCCAAGGCAAGACAGAAAGAACGCTACCACAGATGGTACCATCCTACCTACACGATCTCCTCCCCGTCTTCGACAAAGCCACGGCTGCGCGACTTCCAGACCACACCGAATATGACCACGAAATCAACCTCAAGGAGGGCTTCGTGGACATGAAGCAACAGGTCTATCCGCTCAACCCGCAGCAACGAAAGGAACTCGACAAGTTCCTCGAGGAGAACCTGAGTAAAGGGTACATTCGCCCTTCGAAATCCCCGTTGGCGAGTCCATTCTTCTTTGTTGGTAAAAAGGACGGTTCACTACGTCCCTGTCAAGACTACCGGCTGCTCAACGAGAACACGGTCAAGGATCGATACCCGCTCCCGCTTATATCCGACCTCCTGGACAAGTTGAAGCACGCCAAGATGTTCACGAAAATGGACCTCCGCGCCGGATACAACAATGTTCGGATCAAGAAAGGGGACGAATGGAAGGCAGCGTTCATCGTACCCGGAACTGATGGCAAACCGCCGCAGCTATACGAACCAACGGTGATGTTCTTTGGGCTGTGTAATTCCCCCGCTACGTTCCAGCGGATGATGAACACAATATTCGCAGACATGCTTCAAGAAGGCTGGCTTTGCATTTACATGGACAACATCCTGATCTTTTCCCAGGACAAGGCAGAACACGAAGAACGAACACGACGTGTTATCGAACGACTTCGACAACATGACCTCTACCTCAAACCGGAGAAATGCGCCTTCGACATCACGGAAGTCGAATTCCTCGGCATGATCATCCGCCCAGGAGAAATCGCAATGGACCCTGTCAAACTAGCTGGCATTGCGGATTGGCCGGTGCCATCCAACCTCAGGCAAGTACGCGCCTTCGTTGGATTTGGAAACTTTTACCGCCGGTTTATCAAAGGCTTCTCGGACAAAGCGCAACCGCTGGTTGCTCTCACCCGGAAGGACGTCGCCTGGACCTGGGGATCTGACCAACAGAAAGCCTTTGAGACCCTCAAAAAGGCGTTCCTAGAGGAACCGGTACTACGTATGCCAGATCCTGACCGACCCTTCGCCATCGAAACCGACGCCTCAAAGTTTGCCACCGGAGCGGTGCTACGCCAACGCGATGATAACGGTGACTGGCATCCTTGCGGATACCTCTCCCAGAGCTTCAATGCGGCAGAAAGAAACTACGATATCTATGACAGAGAATTATACGCGGTTATCCGCGCACTAGATGAGTGGAGGCACTACCTCATCGGCAGCCCATACCCAGTGACGATTCTCAGCGACCATAAGAACCTCACGTATTGGAAACAAGCCAAAGACATGAACCGACGACAAGCACGCTGGGCAAGTAAACTGACCGAGTTTGACTTCCGCCTGGTGCACGTTCCTGGCACCCAAATGGTGCAGAGCGACGCTCTCTCCCGCCGACCCGACCACAATGACGGCTCAAATGACAACACTGACGTCGTTATGCTTCCACCGGAAGTATGGGTCGCTGCCATCGACATCGACACCCGTGACACCATCCTTTCTTTCAAAGATGACCCCATAATGAAGGAAGGACTCACTGCAGCGCGCACCGGAGGAGCACCACGCACTGGAACAGACTGGTCCATCGATGATGACCTCCTCTTATACCAGGATCGGGTCTATGTACCCCCAGATGAGTCTCTTCGCAAGCGCCTTGTCTCCCACTATCACGACCTCCCCTCCGCAGGACACCCCGGTGTTCAGAAAACCCTCCTCGGTTTACGCCGTGACTACTGGTGGCCGAGCATGGCCCAGTTCGTCGCTCGCTATGTTAACGGCTGTGGCATCTGCCAGCAAATGAAGGTTAACACGCATCCAGCCCGACCGCCCATCACCCCCATTCGACCCCGCGCAAATGCCAAACCCTTCAGCACATTCTCGTGCGATTACATTACCGACTTACCACCGTCCAATGGCTTTGATTCCATTTTGGTCGTAGTGGACCACGACCTTACGAAGGGGGTAATTTTCATCCCATGCAACAAAACAATTGACGCTCTTGGGACGGCAGATGCAATGTACCGAGAAGTCTACAAGTGGTTTGGACTCCCAGACAAGATCATCAGTGACCGAGGACCGCAATTTGCGTCCAAAGTCTTCCAAGAACTGTGCAAAATGACTGGAGTTCAATCAGCCATGAGTACGGCATTCCATCCGCAAACCGACGGCGAGACAGAACGAGTGAACCAAGAGCTGGAGATCTACCTCCGCTGCTTTACTGCCAATGACCCGGATAAGTGGGCTGACCATCTTCATACCGCGCAATTTGCTCACAACTCCCGCGAGCACTCCACGACGAAGGTGTCCCCGTTCAAACTCATGATGGGATACGAACCTCGTGGAATACCCACCGCGCACCCCGGATCAAACACGCCCCAAGCAGCTTATCGCCTCAAGGACTTGCAAAACATCCGCGAAGAAGCACATGCGGCAATGGAGATGGCCCAGAACGTCCTGGCCAAGAGAGTAAAAAGGAAGGGGGGTTCCTTCTGCAAAGGTCAGCTGGTATGGCTAGACTCCCAGAACTTGAAACTGCCGTACCCGTCCAGGAAATTAGCCCCGAGGCGAGAAGGGCCGTTCAAAGTCCTAGATAAGATTGGAACAGTCGCGTACAAGCTAGACTTGCCTAGCACCTGGCGAGTCCACCCCGTTTTCCACGAATGGCTTCTATCTCCTTACTCAGAGACGGAGATCCATGGTCCGAACTACACGAGGCCACCCCCTGACCTTATCGAAGGCGAAGATAACTACGAAGTCGAAGCCATCATCGGACACCGAGAGAACAAGAGGATGCGACGCCACGAATATCGCGTCAGGTGGAAGGGTTACTCAACAGCCGATGACTCATGGGAGCCCGAAGCGAACCTGACTGGGACGGCTGACGAAGTGTTGGCAGAGTATAAGAACAGGAAGGACTTGAGCTGAATCGATAGCAGCTCTACCCAGTCGCTACATCCCCATTCGCACCAACATGTCTTCCACCCTCTCGTTCCTCGACCAGTTCAACGCCCCCTCGACCGAAGGCGGGAAAAGGCTCTCAATCTACACCCCTAAGCACACCCACGTCGGCGACAGCACCTTGCTGACGCTCCTTCTCAGTAATCCCACCGACGTTTTCAACAAGCTCAAAGCCCACAACCCCGAGGCAACCAATGCCACCGACCGCGCTGCACTGGAGGCGTATCTCTCCGCCCGCCGCGAATACGATGAGGCTGTCAAGGCAGCCGACGAGGCCATCGACCACCACAAGCGGCTCTTACGCCAACAGGACGACCGCGTCCTCACCGAGCTCATCCGGCTCGACAATCTGAAAGTTGCCCATCGCTTTCAACCGCTCCTACCACGCAGCATCCGAGCACGACACAACAAATTCATCCCGCGCGCCATCCCCAACGCGTACTTACCCCTACCCGCACCCCTACCGACGTCTGCCTTCAGACGCCCCCCGATCCCATCCCCTTTCCTCCAAGTAGCGCCGCGGAGCACTACCATCCCGGCCAACTGGCAACCCAACCCTGGTTGGACCCCGAAGGGAAGCTGCAGGCGATGCGGATCGTCCTGACACTGGGTACGGGACTGTCCGGACGTACGATGCGCAGGATGCGGAAAAGAAGCCCCGGGACACCTGGAGCAAGAGTGCGGAACCAGGCCGATGAAGCGACACGTATCCGCACCACCTGAAGAACCTGCGCGACGCGTGGGGGTGGTCGTCGACAACGTGTTCCTCGAAGGAATCATCAACGAGGCGAAGGAGAGGAAGGAGAAAGAAAGGCAGACGAAAGCGATACCCATCCCTCCACCGCGCAGCGCTAACCCCGAACCCCCCACCAGTCCCGTCGCGGGACCTTCGCGCCCCCGCCCCGATACACCCGTCGTCTTTCGCAAAGTCGATCCCGACTGGACACCGGACACCACTCAATGGACGTGGGACAGCTCCTGGCCAAATCAGAAGCACCTCTCTGGCGAAGAATGGATGAAC